TTATAATAATAAAATTATAGATATTTATATATAAATATATAATATATTAGACTAGCTATACTAAAAACCATATTATATCTATATATAAAATTACTAATTACTTTATATTAATACCGGACCCATATAGTTATATAACTTTATATAATTAGCTAGCTATAAAAAAGCCCTAAAGCCCGAAACTTATAAAGAGTCTTAAGAGCTTTAGGGCTTCCGGACTATTACTAGTATCCGGTACTTTTTGGGAAAAGAATATAATATATTTTATAATAAATAATCTATTATAAATTACTTAATCTTTAAGTTAAGCAGGAAATCTAAGGGCCGGGCTCGTAATTTAAGTCTTATTAAAGTTATTAAAGTCTTTGCTAGCTAGTACTATAGATTTAATAAAAATATTACGGGAATCCTATAGATTCTATTCTAATTTATCTAGAAAGCATATATAGTATATCTCCTTATTTATTCTAATATTTATATATAATTCCTGAGAGCTAAACTATTACTTAAGGGAAGAATAAGAAGACTAGACTAATATTTTTAAAAACTAAGGCCTTAATAAATCTATTTAGAAAAGCTTACTAATTCTTCTAAAAATAATTCAAGAAAAGTTTAAATTTATTATATATTATAACTCATATAACCAGAGACAGGAACTACTTTAATAGGCCAGAAAGAGTTTCTTATATGGCTCACTTATATAACTAGAGATAGAGACTTGAGTTTATTATATGAAATTACTTATATATAGAAATTCCTGCTATAAATTCCTTATTTAGATTAATTAATTAAACCTATTTTTAATACTAAGTCTTTATTAAGGCAACTTCCCGCTCCTAGAGGCTTTAGATAAAGTAGCTAATAAGTTTCTTAGCTATTAGCTAAGACTTATTAGCTAGAAAATCTATAAGTAATAGATAAGATTATAAAATAGAACTTTCCTAACTATAATACTAAGATATTTTACTATAATATAAAGTAATTAGATATAAAAGCCCTATTAAATATAATATATCTCAAACTATAAATTTGCGAGATAGATATAGGAAGTCTTAGTACTTAACTAGTACTATAGTCTAGCCCAAAAGCACCTACTATTCTTTATACCTAATTTAATAGAAATAAGAAGTACCTATACTTTAACTCGAGAAATAATTAGGACTTTTATATAGACTTAGAATAGCGGTTTGCTCTATAAAGAAAGAATAAACCAGAAATACCTATACTATATTAATCTTTAGGAAAGGTTATAATAAATATTATAATTTCTGAAATATTCTTAAAAAAGCTTCCCTAAACTAAAGTAGGCTAGTTTATAATTCCGAAAGATCTATAGAAGTCTTATATACCCGAGAGTATAAGTACTTAAGGTAAATACTATTTAAGTCCTAACCTATAATAAAAGAAAAATAAAGTATATAAAATAAAATATATAAAATAAAAGTAAAATAAAATATCCGGATATTTAATAAATAAAAAGCCTAACTATAGGTTATAAGAACTAGTACTAACTAGGTATATATATGGTAATATTAAAGAAGAGATAAGGCAAGGGAAACTAAAAAGTAAATTAGTATATATTCTATAAAAGCAAACGGGAAAATATCTAAATAGCCCAAAAGCGAGAAGTATATATTAAAGAAATCGAGATTAGAGGAAAAAGGGCTATTTCCTATAAGAATAAGTTAGTATATATTTCAAGATAAAGAATAAAGATACTTAGTAATAGCCCAAAGGCTTTTATAAGTATTAAAGAAAAAGAGGAGGTATTAAAGTTCAGAGAGATCTAAATAGGAATTAGCCTCTTTTTTGGAAGTTCGAGAGAGGGTATTCCCAAAGGGCCTAAAGATATAAGAGATATTAGAAAAGGAGAGAAAGAGATATTAGAGAAAGAGAGAAAGGATCTAAAATTTAGCTTTCTAAGAAGCAAGTAAGTTAAAGACTTATAATATAGGAGTTCTAAATAAAAGTAACCCGGAAGTAGTAATTAAGTACTAGCTTTTGGTATTATTAGTAAAAGTATTAAAAGAAGAGGGATTCGAAAAAAGGATTTAGAAAAGGGGTTTAGAGAAGTTCGGAGAAAGAAAGGAAGATTATAAGGCAGTTAGATACTAGCTCTTGGTATTAATAGAAGAAGTATTAAAAAAAGAGGAATAAGGAAAAGAAATAAGGAGGAGAAGTAAGAAGAAGTTCGGAAAAAAAGAGAAAGGTTATAAGGTAGTTAGATACTAGCTCTTGGTATTAATAGAGATATTAATAAAAGTATTAGTAAAGGGCAGAAGCTCTTAATATTAATAGTAAAATCGAAAAAATATAAAAGAAAGATAAAGGTTTTAAAATAAAGATAGAATAGAGTTATAGTTTTATAGAAAATAAAGTTACTAGTATAGGATAGTTATATTATTATATAATTCCATATTTACTTTTATTATTTATTAAGGATATATATTTCTTAGGAAAAAGTATTACTTAGAATTCTTGAGCCTTTCTAATTTAATAATTATATATTTAAAAAATAAGAAATAAATATAATTATATATACTAGAATAAGAGAATTCTTCTTATCTAAAAATTATAATTATAGTATTACTAAATATAAAGATATAGAAGTTTATATAATAAGCTATATATAGAGATTTAAGGAAATTTAAATTACCTTGAATTATTTATAATTAGTAAAGTAAATTAGCTAATTATATAAGTCAAATATAGTTTAATTATTATTAGTATATCTTAGCTTTTATAAGTTAGTAAGAGAAAGAATATTTTTATTTTTATTTTTATAACTATAATATCTAAAATTATAATTTTTTTAATATTTAAATATACTTAATCTAGGGCTATTAAGTACTAATATTTCTATTTTTAGATATTATTTATTATAAATTTATTTGAATTTAAATAATTATATTAAATATATATCTTTATATCCCAAAAGTAAATAATAAAGATATAGTTATACTAGCTTTAACCTTAGCCTTAACCTTAACCTTAATCTTTTTCCGAAAATAACTTTAATTCTAATATATAATACTATTATTAAAGCTTTCTTTTATTAAAAACATATTAAATATAGCTTTAGGTAGCGGCTCTAGTAAAGGCAAAAATAATAGAAAAGATAATAAAGCTATAAATAAGCAGAAAGATAATATTTATAATATATTTTTTAATAATCCAGACTTAGTCTATAATATCTTCTCCTATTAATATATTTAACTAATAAATCCTTTTATTTCTTAATCTCTTTCTTATATATAACCTCCTCTTTCTTCTCTATAATAATACTTTAATTTCCTTATACTATCTAATAATATTACTAAAATAGTAAAGTGAATTAATAATAAGGCTAAAGTTAGAAAGATAGAGCTATACTAGGGTAAGAAGCTAAAGAAATTAGAGAAAGGCAAGGCAAATCTAGAGGCAAGCTTAGTATATACTTATAAAACCGAATTCTTTTAAGCTTATACTACTTATAGTAATAAGAAGAGACTAAGAGGCTCTTTTAAATACTATATAGTTATAGAAGGCAAATTTAATAGTACTTATATAAATTATAGATATAATAATAATAGTAAAATCTATATTTTCTATTAACTTAATACTAATCCTATTAAGTCTGGAAAGCCTTGCTCTGTATTTGCAAAACCCTTTATACTAAAGCCTTGACTGCCTATAAGATATAGAAAGCAAGTATAAAAACAGATATAAGGTCAGAAGGCAATAGGAAAGGAGGTTATAGCAGAGGAGGGTAAGGATACTGGAAGAGAAGAGGACGAAGAAGATATAGATAATTCGAGTAATATAGATAGTACGGAGGATATAGAGAGTAAGGGAGATAGAGATATATTTTATAATCCATGGGATTTGCCTTACGGACTATGCAAGCTAAGGGGGGGTTAGGAGTAGTCGAGAATAAGGCGTATATACTGTACTTTTTTTTTTTGGTAAGGTGTAGTGGGGGGGGGGGGGGTGTGGGCGCGAAAATCAGAAAATCAGAAAATCACTTTTCGCTTCTCGGATTTGTCCGCTAGCCCGCTAATGGTCTCAGTAACTCCCTCGTTTTATCTCTCCCTAGACTCCGCATAAGGCTGATGTCCTAGAAAATCCTGCCGCGGCGGCGCCGGATATCTCGTCGGAGGATACCCAATCAGGCTAGCGTCACCACCCTCGCTAAGAAATTCAGGGGCTTTCCCGTGCAGAGTCGCCTGAGGGAACACGAGGACGGAATTTGCCAAAATGACGACGCGGCAATCCAAGCAGCTTGAAACCCGCGCCTCCCGGCGCTCGTATTCCAGCTCGCAGCGCTGCAAGACACAATGACACATAGCCCAGGCGTCCAATGAAGCTTCCTACATAAGGCTTGGCGACCCCCTTAAACTGGCGTGAAGCTTATTTGCACGAGCTTGGATCGAAAGGATGACCGGATTAGGGTAGGATGCGGATGCTGGACCACGCAGGGACATCGTGACTTTCGTAGGTGTTTTCAATCTTATTTCTGCCTAAGCTGGCCGTTTAAAGTTCGCCGCTCCTCAGGGGCGCAATTTTCATTTTTAAGAGTCTTCGATGCCGCCAGTTTGCGCGCGATCAACCTGCTGCTAGTCGCAGGCTTATTTTCATCATGTTTAAAGAGTTGGTTTCTTTGGCGATTATTGTGGGGTTTATTCTGAATATTCTCTATGTGGAACACCCGGACACCACTTCATACACCATTGCGTTCGTTCTTAGCATGGCTGTCTTCTCACCCTTCGCGCTTGCCTGGAGATATAGAGCTGCTTTGAGACAGTTGAGAGTGATTAGGGATGCGGCTGAGGAGGCGGAAGAGGAGCCAGTTGTGAGCGTGAGTGGAGCCACACGAGTCAGCAAGGACGTACAGTCCAGTGCTGACGTCGAGCTGGCCGTGATGCATGCGGACGGAGCTTCTGCTGTACCTCTTGAAGGGACTTGAAGACGTCGAAAGCCGGTCTCTCCTGGGGCACCGTTTCCAGTGAACCGTATCAGGTATGCCCCCTCCCATGAGTAGAACGTTTAGATCCAGCATTCGTTGCAAGTTTTGCTGACTTCTTCACACAGTCCACATCTGCCAAGTCATGACAGCAAGCGTAATTACACTCGTCACATAAGATGCAACACCAAACGCGCCCTGTACGTCCTGTTTCCAAACACTCCAACAGATCGCAAACACAATACCAAGGACCAGCGAAACAGAAAACATGACTGTCACAGCTAGCGCACTATTCAACCCTTCCACGAAATGGAGACCCCACCCAGTAATTGCATCAACCAGATCAGGTCTAAAAGACAACGCTAGTTCCTTTCGCTTCGGAATGTAGCGGAGGTAGAGAGACGTGTCAAGCGGTTGCGCAGAGCAGGAAGTAAAGAGGTGCATCATGTGCGAGGCACCAATCGGAGGGCATTTCTTGACCGGTGGAGGGGGCAGGAAATCGTACTCGTCGAGGGTGGGAGGGAGTTTGTTGGGCAGGATGTGGTCGACCAGGTTTTCGGGACAAAGCTCGAACTTCCATTCATCAGCACCGTCTTGGACTATAAGGAAACGGACAGTTGTACCTCGACGAACTCGATCTTCTTCAATTTGAAGAGAAGCCTCTCCCTCCAACGCTTGCTCCCAAAATACGCCCGTCTCAAAGCTTGAAAGAAAGTTGCATCAGTAAAATCATTCTCTTCATCGTCTTTGCACACATGCAACGGCTCTAATTTTGTGGCGTATGGTGGTTTCTTTAGACACATGTGCAGCCATCTGCATTTTGTGCTCGGTAAACATTGTAAGGGAATCGATTTGATGGAGCTAGGCTTCGTGTTAAACGTTGGCAGTGTTGGGGTTCGGAGACTTGAGATGCGTCTCCGGGCTCCGATGAAAATGTTTTGAACTCTGGTTGTCAGAGAAGTGATAGGGCTATTTGTCTGATTTGAGATCTGTGCGTGAGTTATGTAGCCTGCCTCGAACATGTCGTTTGCGAGCTCGAGGATTGCGCCCTGAGAGAGTTCTTGGAAATCGTCATGGGACCGGTGGCCACATTTCTGGGATGTGGTGTCAGTATTTTGCAATAAAATCAGGAAGCGGAGGAGTTTGTGACTTACACATGTCCATTCTAGCCGCTTGATGTTACCACCCAGTTTTCGTTGTTGTTGAAATTTATTGCCTATACGGGAAAGCCAGATGTTAAACCAAGGCCTCTCCCCTTCATTATCCAAAGTATCGATGAGCATCATGTAGACGATTTCTTCGTCGGAAACTATATCTTTGAGCGCTCCCCCAGCATTTGTACCACGGCTCATCGTCACTTTGAGGAAGTCGAGGAGGCGCACTATCAAGTGGTAGGACATAGTCAGCAAGTAATAGATATGGTAAAAAGAACGAAAAGTTGAGGTGAGGTCAGGTGACAAACCAGGAACGACTCTTTCTGTTAGCGTTCTTTGGAGCCTCATACGCCAACGACATATCATTACTTGGAATTGACCGAACCAATGAGTTAGATCCCACAACATCGTCCTTATCATAATAGGCTCAGGTCTGTACTTCCTGTCGATACTCATGCTCCCTGTTCCGAAATTAATGTCGATAGTTTCCGAAAACAGACGATTGCGGAGGGTAGACGGCATATCCAACGCAACCCACCCCTGCTGTTTTTCCTCCTGCCTTTGGTTTGATAATAGTTGTTTTGCTCGACACGCTGGACAGCGTGTTATGTGGGTATCATCAAGGGCTCGCTCAAAATATTCGTAACAGTCGGAAGACATGCAGATTGTTCTGGGAAGTAGTGGGTCAGGCTGCTGTGAGCAAGCATTGAGGAGGGAAGAAACGTACATAACTTCCAATGGGCCAGGTCTGCTCTGATGCCTTTGAGGAACAGAGACTTGTTCGATATCGGCTTCTATATCCACCGCTGATTCTCGCTCTTTTCCGACCCCCAAGCCCTCTGTAGGCGGCGGGGGCAGATTTTGAGTCGTTTCATGTTTGGGGAGGGGTTTTCCTCCTTCCAAGGGAGTAGATTGACTGGGAACAGGACTCGGCCTGCCTCCCACTTCGGCAAGCGAGCTAGATTCCCCAGTGGGGGTCCGTCCAAGGGAATCTAAACAAAAATCCAATTCATGGTCCAGATCCACATTCGCCTCTTCCTGCAACGTACGAGGTGGCCTACTCTCTTCAGCACCCCCGAGAATAATATCTCGCTGCTCTGTGGCAACTAAATCAAATGACAATCGTTGATTTGATAACAAGGGGGAAGAGCGCCTCCCCAAAATGTTTGTTCGCGTTGAGCCAAAAGCGCCGTTATTCTTCTTTCTTGCCAGCCAGCTCGACAAAAGCGTTGTGGTCTCCTTGCTTGCTTGCTGCGTTTTATCTTTATTCATTTCCCTGACCTTAGCCAGTCGCGCTTCTCTAGTAATTGCTCTTTGAGCAGCTTTTTCCAATCCCTTCTTATCAAGTGGGGCACTATCTGTGGAAATGCTGCTACCACTATACCTCTTTAAATCTTCAATACAGATATTGAGCCCAGAACAACATAATCCCAGCCTCAAGCAAAGGACTTCCAATTCCCATTTCGCCGAAACGGCATACTCGGCAGTGGAGTTGTACTTCTCCCACGTACTTCGTTCGCCAGGCGCTTTGAGGAACACAGGGTGTCTTTCGAAGACCCTCTTACAATCTTCGAGTTTAATTTCAACGTACTTGGTGTAGAGCTTGCCATCCTGTAATATGTCTTCAAGCTGTTCAAGAACTGCTTGAAGCTCTTCGACTTTTTCATTCAGATCTGATAGGTGACGAGAAGCCCCTTGGCTGCCATCCGAGTATGCTTTTCGAAAATCATTACAGAAGCCGATGAGTATGCGAGCCTCACCGCGGCCCCCCCCCCGGTTATACCCCTTTCCGGTGGGCTTATGCGCTCCGGAGTGGAAACCTTTTCTTGATCCAATATGTTGACAGATTCCGAACTCGGGTAACCTAAACCTCGGAGGGGAGGTTTCTGGGGGGAGGGGCGCTCTGGAGGACCACCATCGGACATTGCACGCAATCGAGCAGGTCCAGATATCTGCAAGCCTGCGCTCGCTCCAAGCGCTAAAGGATTGTCTATATCTTCGAGGGGAAAATTGTCTCTTCTTGCAGCAGCCTCCGGTTGTTCTTCATTGTCGTCGCCGTCGTCACCGAAAACGTCGGCCGGCGGTGCAGGGAGAGGATCTTCAGAGAATTGCCAATAGCTACATACTCTCCCGAATTTCCTACATCTCACGCAGCTGGGTTTCGTCTCATCACACTTCACTCTTCGTTTTCTGTACAGAAAGATCAACGATGAATCGCTATATTATATGATACGATAGGATGCATACCTGCAGGTATTACATCCTGCTTTGCCTGCCGTGCGCTTCTTAAGATCTGAGGGGGGTTGCATGATTGATCGTGATACAGGGGGAATATCATAGGACGACTCGTCTCCTTCTGGAGCGGGTTGGTCGTAAGAGAATGGAGGCATAGCTTCTGCCTCTGTGTGTCAGGAGAATTAATGTGCTGGAAGAATTGTTCTTAAAAGAGATAGTGGGAAGTGTTCAGCTGAAAGGCTTGTTCAGCCTCATCCCTCAGCCCCAAGAGATCGTGGATGGTGCATGCAAGTCTGCCAAGCTAGTCACACAGTGTCTCACAATGCACCAATAAAGACTAGATGGCGTCTTTCCCTTGTCACAAGGCCCAATTCTTGACAGAACTCGAATTTTTTCAAGCCATCCAGGTAACCAACTCCAGCCGGGCTACCACACAACCACATCTTCCCTTGCTCGGATCTCTGCATCTGATGAATCTTCCCAGCCTTTCACGATATAGCTCACCAAGGCCCTCCGTCTGTCATGATCAAACTCAACATCGATATCTGAAATCCTTAGCGGTTTCGCCTCGCTCCCACCATCATCACTTCCCCTCTCTTCGATCTCCATTACACTCTCTGCGACTTGCGCCAAGAATGAACTATCCCAGAGACCCTCAAGTCTTCTCGACAGCCTCAACAACGAGATAGCCTTCCTTCGCAATATCTTATGACGACACCGCACTGCGACAAAGAACAGTGGACCAAGAACACACCCATCAAGCGTGAAGCGAACCGTATCCCCACCCAACGACTCGTCGGCGGAAGAGTCAATAATATCCGTCACAAGGCAAATGATCTCCGAGAACTGCTTCTCATAATTACGGAAGACCTCTTCGTTATCCCTGTCGTTTTGGTGCTCTGGCATGAGACACATCGAGGCAACGAGATGGCAGATCTTCATTGCGTTTGCTGCTTGTCTTCCCTTGGCATCTAAGTTACTGCCCGAGTGCTCCATGAAACGTTCGAAGGCTGCGAAAGATTGACTAAATTTTGTCGAACATAGTTGAAGTGTCGCAGCGCGGGTGTCGCCGGCACGCACAGAAGTGTTCTCTTGCGGGGATTTGAGAGAGCAGAGGCAGAAATTCCAAATTTGGTCTGCGATGCGTCTTGTTTCTTCGAGACTGGTACAGGGTGTGGGAATGTGTCGTACGGCTTTGAACGTGAGTTCTTCTAGCCTGGAATTTTTGGTGAGCTTGCGGTTCCAGAGTAATTGGTTTGCTTGTGTATCAAGTCGGGTGAAGATGAGAGCGAGGTCTTCGAGCGATGCGAACGAGTTATGGGAGTAGAGAAGGCGGGCAGGAGCCGATGGGTCCTTCTGGTCTTCTGGCTCAATCTCTGACAGTAATCGTAGGCCATAATTGAGGTGAACAAGGGCGGTAGCGAGGTGGCCGCGGAGAGACTGTTTGTGATCATCAGTTTCAAGTAGGTAAGGTTAACAGTTTACAACTCACTTCAAAGCATATGAAGAATATACAGCAAATAAGAACGACTTCTGCAGTTGGTCTTTGATCCTTACTATAGAATCCCCTTAGATGTTGCATTGCCTTGACATACTGATTAAGTGTAAAATCACTTAGATGCTCGTCATCCTCAACAACCTTATGAACTGTGGCACTACGTTCTTGTTGAAGAGCTGCAACTGCCACAGCTGCGTGCCAGATGGCCGGTTGAGAAACGCATGCTTGTAGCACTTCCTGGTTCCAGAAAGTGCATCCAAATAAACCGGATAATTGGAGAGTAGTCTTGGTGCAGAAAAACTGGAAATGATTGCTTTCTACCAAGGTTCCAGGAAATTGCCGGAGGGGGAGGCATACTGCAGCCGTTGCCACGTATGACCCAAATGCTGGGATTGTGCACCTTTTCCAATCACATTTTCTGCCCGTGCTCTTGCATCTGTGGCAACTTGGCTTTCCTTCGTCACATTTTACCCGTCTGGTCCTGGACGCAGGATCAACATATGAACAGCGGACGTAAGATGAGGGGGAACATGCTTGCAAGTGAGGCACCCCGTGGTGACCTTGGGTTTGGAAGCTCTCGACCTTTTAGTGATCTCCTTCCCACCCTGCTTCGCCATGCGGATGAAGTCGAAACCTCCCCTCTTCGGCGTAGACACTTCAACGAATCTCGCAAAGAGCGACAGACCCACCTCCCACGCTTGGGGTAGGAGCAAGAGTAAGACTCGGAGGGATAAGTTGGAGGTGGACTGAGGGCTTAATTTGCATGAAGCAACTGGGAGAACGAAAAGGAGGCGCATCTGTTTTGATGTCTAGAGATCGAAATTCAGTCACCTCAGCTGTAGCTTGCGGTGTGAAGCACGGACAGAAATAACATCCTGGTTCGCACCAATGATGATGCCTGGGCCCAGACAGACGGGAAGGACATTTGTCGATCGTTTACGAACACACCAATCTCAGCGCTGCAAAAAATAAGCTTAAGATATTCTTCGGGGTAATATAACTCCGATTGACTTCGGAGATAAGACTGCCTGGAATTCTACCAAGAAGTTACGATGGGCAGAGAATAATTGTAAGCTCTCGGTAGCGATATTGTCGCGAGCATGACTTTGCTCGCAAAATGAGGCTGCGCATCGGCGACATCAATAACGAGCAGACGCGTGATACGACAGTTCTGAGGTAGGCACTTTCATACAAGAATGTCGGTGCCCAAGTCAACTATGCATGAGTTGAGTTCCACCATCTCAATATTCTGTCATAGTTTTCTAAAACCCGGCAATCTCCTCTCGTTCACTTCCTAAGGAAAATGGCGTTGAAAATTTCTCACAATGTGTGGTGGAGAAAGGCATATCAAGCTGCTGGCTTTCGGAAGGGGTACAATTTTCCTCTCTGTAAGGCAAATATTCATTTCCTTAAACGCATTTAATAACTATGCAAGTTATTATTTTCGCGGGCTCAATGCTCGGCTTTTCTCTCGCGCGGATCAGCTACCTGAACATCGGTGGGAATGCATCCTCATCTTACAAAAAAGGCGCTGCGCCAGGAGAATGGTACTGGTATCGAGAAGGACTCGCTCGAGTCGGAATATCGATCCACCTTGGATGCATAATCCCAGCTGGAGTTCTCATGGTGGTATGTCGATTCCGTACACTTATCACTTTGATGCTGATAATCCGGCTTCCCAGTGGCAATTCGTGCCTGTCATCCGCCACAAATTCATTCTTCTCCACCGCATCAATGGCTACATTGTCATTGTCTTGGTCATGATCTCGAATACCGGTGCATTTCTCATCATTAGGCGATCGTTTGGTGGCACTTTACCAACTCAAGCAGCAATGGGCCTCCTCATCATTCTCAGCACTATCTCCATAGCAATGGCATATTATAACATCAAACGACTACAAATCGAGCAACACAGAGCTTGGATGTTGCGTGCGATGTTTTATCTTGGAGTCATCATCACTACTCGGATCATCATGGTGATCGCTGCTCAAGTGTCGACTGCAGTAGGCAAGTACTACGTACCCATGATTTGCGATGAAATTGTCTTTGTACAGGACTCACTAACACAAAACAATACAATGTATCCACAATGTAGCATTGCCAATATGTCAGTTGATGGGATGATTGCGGTTGCCGCAAACTTTGGGAGTGACAGGAAGGAGCAACTTCAAGCCAGCTTGGAACTGAACTTCGGCATGGCCGCGTGGCTTTCCATCTTTCTGCACACTATTGGTGTGGAGATCTACTTGAACCTGACACCTGCAGAAGGGGAACGTCTGAGAAGAGTTAGTTATGCAAAGCAATTGGAGGCTGGTATGAGGAATCCGGGAAGTGCGGGGTTGACGGTTGACAGGTGGGGGGATGCGGACGAGTGGATTGTGCCAGCAGAGGATACTTAGACATTGCAGGAGTTGATAATGAGGCGCTTTGGTGGAAGTGGTGAGCATATCATCGACCTGGATAATTTGGAACACTCACAAGTGCTCAGTTCCCAGTTCTCTCCCGACGCACAAGCGGTTCTTTCAGACTCTAGGCACAATTGGACTCAGATGCAATATGCTTCTGTCGAGCGGATAGACGACATAATGTTGTTTGCTGAGAGCGAATGCGCAAACGTGTAATTTAAGCAAAATGAAAGACTGGCAGGAAACGGCAGTTCAGTGGGTGATCTAAACTGTGTTTTAGCGTTCCTGGGGTACCGCGAGTTGAGGCCCTAAGCCCCTATTTCTAAGATAGGGGCCTTTTATCAAGCTCAGCAACTCGCGCCTGCTGTCGTAATGCTTAATTATTGCTTATTTTTTGTGCTGGTTATTGCAAAGGAGGGTTCCCCAGGTTAGGAATCTGGATGAGAAGTATTCTCGTTCAGTTATTTCACCGATAGAACATCATTTGAGGCAAATTTCACTTTCTGATTGACTGACTCGGAAATGAAGGAGTACGCAGAGACTGCAAGGGCCAAACTTACTCGACGAAATCATTACCGAACTATCACACCAAGTTGAACTCATGCGCCGTTACCTTGTCCCCATCTCTCATCGCTAAAGCTTCGCCGTCCATGAAACCATGCCAATAGCACTCCCCAATAAATTGAAACTCGTTAGGTCGTGCTGTCTTGCGCAGAATAACTGATACACTACACCCCATCAGGACATAAATCATGTCATTCTCTTGCGTTTGCTCTGTAGCCGCGCCCATCTGCTTCCTCTCGGACATGATGAGGCGGCGACCTTGTGTTCCAGCATCCAAAGCCTTACACAATCTTTCGAGCGTCTCGATACCTTCCTGATCTGGGATACACGAGCGTGCAAAGTGTTCCGAAAGCTCCTCCTCACTGCAACGAGTTTCTTTGGCTATTCGACCACAAAGAAGTGTAAGAAAATATTTGTAGTTTAGACCAAGCGTACCATCTCTTTGGTCGTTCGCATTGCCGATCATAGCTCGAAGTCGACCTAATTTGTCCGGGTTACGAGCCCAAAAAGTGGCTCGATTTGAGTTTTGATAGAACTCGGCGTATATTGCCACGAGATCTGAGACGTTACCAACCGTTTGAGCTTCTTCTGGTGCCCATTCTTGACTCTGAATGAACTTGGCCGACCATAGTCTCTCACGCAGAGCAAAAGTTTCTGTCTGGAGGTCCTGACCTGGCACCAAGATATCTGACAATACAGAAACATTGCCCAGAAAGATTCCAGTAACGATTAGAGTTTGCCACTCCCGTGTAACGTGGAAGGGATGCTCTGGTAGCGCATGCTTCTCAGATTCCGAGGCGCGGTAGATGATGTTCTCGCCATTTGCGTTCACCAAGCTGCTTGCCTCCAAGCCGAAATGACGAAAATCAGGAACCCAAGATGGCAGTTCAGAAAGTCTACCAAGTAGCTGATGGCCACATATCACGTCCAGGGATTCTCCTGTGGAAATTATATGACGTGCAACGTTGGCGTAGACCTCTGCGACTGGCTTCATGTAATCTGGCTTAAGCAAAGGATTTTGCTCATCCTTCATGAGTCCATGGAGGCCATAGATCCTATCCCTTGGATTTTCCGAGTTTCTACCAGCGGACAATGCAAGAAGGACTCTTAACGGTAGTCGTTGTCCATTGTTGAACTTTGAATTGATCTCAAAGAGTGTGGTGATCTTTTCAAAACTAAGGTGGCGGATGTTGAAGGTTCGCTGAAGGTAGTAAAATACCAAAAGCAAATCTTCAAGATTCACCTCTAGCACCTCCACCAGGCCACGATTGGCTACACACAGTTCTTGCAGTGTCCACATCCTATCGAAGTATTGAGTGTCCGAGAATAGGACTTTATCAAGTAGTGTTGCCATTGCTTGGAAATCTTCACCTTGGACTAGTTTGAGTTGTCTTTCGTTTGGCGACCAGGACTTTATTTCTTCCATACGTTGAAGATATTCATCTTCCCTGACTCTCTGGTCATTCAAATGATCACTCAGTGAATTGTACTCCACGTCGAGACCAATTTGCATTCCTCTGAGCAGACCCATGCCACCTTTGAATGCCCCCTTTAGTAATAGTCTCTCAGATTCATTGCGGATGAATTTTGCCAAAGGCTGTTTCCTTTCACCCCTGTCTCGAGCTTTGGTTTCGATGCCCGTCACTTCACGGCCCCATTTGTCTCCCTTTGTTACATAACCTTCGTTTACGAGGTTACTAATGAACAGCTCTAAGCGATTAATCTCATCGGTTTTATCGCCAAGCCAGACAAGTACAGACACTGCGAGATGGTAGATATCGCGCATGAGAGGCACCTGTGCTGATTTCTCGTCATCGTCTGCCTGATTGATGCAAATGGCATCGACCTAGAATCGAATAGACGCGGGCACAAAAGAGCGGTATGAATGCAAGGCCGCATAGAGGGTCGCTGTGATGGGGAATCGCCTATTATCGAGGATAATTTCATGACTTGGATGCCGATCAGGGCCCGTGCCCCATACATATGACAAGGCAAAGTAGCCGGGTAGTTGTAGATGTTTGCTGAGCCTGGCTACACGGCTTCCGTCTCGTGGAGGAATCTTGTACACGGATAAGCTTCCTGTGAGGACAGATCCATTGTCGTGAGTGGTGTCCAGTTTGAGCAAACGTATCTGCCGGGAAGGATCTTCAAGGGTTTCATATTGGTATGTGTGTGATATCGACATTGTACTTCCCTTCAACGTGTACAAACGGCAATATGGCGCGACTGCAGCGAGCGAAAGAACATAAAGCTATCGTGATAGGAAATAAGGAATGGCACAGAACTTTGCGATGGTAGTCAGCAAACTTATTTTAGCGCCTATGTTCAGATCCGAACCTATAGGGTTATGACGGGAACGCGATACAGAGGCGCAGCATTTCTACTCAAGTGGGGTATGCGCTCTTAATTAACGGCGCCTCCAGGCTGATGCGGATCGAAACGAGGAACGGGGAGGAGAATTGTAATCAGTGTGAGGATGTGGGTAGCCTGGAAATGACGGCGTTTTTGTTTGTTGAGAGCGAGTGTGTGTTGAAATGATGAAATGAAACAAATTTTGTAGGGGTAGAGGTTGATTTCGCGTTTCTTGGTAAAAGCAACTTGTAAAAACCAGAGAATTTTATTTATTCGCATTGTTTCCGGCTTTTACCCGATTTTAACCCTCTGATATCTTCCAATAGTTATAAAAAGTAAATTAAAATACTCATTTAAGCTAGGGCTATTAAGATTATTAAAGGGTTATATTTCTAAGACTTAAAAGTAAGTTATAAAAGATACTTTAAAAAATAAGCTATAACTTATAAAAGGGCAAACAGAAAATTTGTTTCTGCTATTTTCACTTATAAAAATTAAAAATTTCTTTAAAATGCTCGTATTATAACTAATTCTTATTTAATTTACTATTATATATACTAGAATTAGAGTTATAAGGTAATAACTTCCCCTAGTAAATTACCTTATTTAATACTTATTACTTTATTTTAAACTACTATAACTTTTTTATTCCTGAACTATTATATAATAGCAAATATTAGATTGAATTTAATAGCCCAATTGGGCCAATATTTGAGTCATATAAGATTATATTCCCTAATTAGAACTTATACTTTTATATATCTAGTAAAATACTAGATAATATATATAAAGAAATATAAAGCTTTAAAAATGAATATTAATTAGTTTATTATAAAAGCTAGCTCTTGGAATTAGTTATACTTATATACTTTATTTTATATCTTAGATTCTATTCTTATCTTAGCTACTTATATAATACTTTATTATTAAATACCTTATATTTATTATAAAACTAGTATTTTCAAATAACTTAGAGTTTTCTTTTTTAATTTAGTAATTTCTAGCTTTAATCTAAGCCTTTTTAATAGCTTGAATTCTTATAAACTTGGAATTCGAACTAGTATTATAAATCGGTAATAATATATTAAATTAAATAGTTTCCCTAAATATAAAAAGAAGAATCTAAAAAAAGAAATTAAATCTAGGCCTTATATAATTATTTATATTTTATATAAGGCTATTAATATAGTAATATAAGTATTTAGAGATTTTAAGTATTTAATTTCTTTATAAATCTCAATTTATTATATTAGTATATAATAGTAAATATTAATAAGTATAAAACGTATATAAAATAAGAAGTAAATTTTAATTTTAAATTTTAATATATAAATTAAAAAGTTTATTTTACTTATAAGAAAATTAATTTATATTTTATTAAAATTTGCTTTTAGATATATTTTATTTATTTTTAGAGAAATAAACAAAAATTAATATTAATAAATATTATAATAAAATCTTAATTATAATTTAAATATATTTAATTACTTGAATTTGTTTTATATTATATGAATTATAAAATAAGAAATAATTATATATATATAATTTCTAAGATTAGTAACTTTAAGCTAATAGAAATAAATAATAAATATTTTCAGAAAAGCATATTATTAATTCCTTGAATTAATAGTATTATATAATAATTCAGGAAACAATATTACTTTAATATAACTTATTTTAATTATATTAAAGTAATAGCTATAATAAGAAAATATATATTATAAAGAACTATATTATACTAAGAATTTAATTAAGGCTTGTAAAAGCTTCTTTTAATAAATAAAGAATTAGTATATATAATTATATAATTTACTTATTTAAAAATAAATATAGGAATTAAAAATGCTATTAATATATTATAATTAAGCTTTACTATTTTGCAAAATAAAGTAGCTTCTTTAATATATATAACCTCTTATAAAATCTAGACTTTATTAAACTAGATATAAGTAAAGAATTCTATAATAAGTCTCTATTAATATATATTTAGTAAGGGTATAATAGGATTTATATAAAAAGATAATCTAGAATTATTAAATAAAAAGATAAGCAGTATTATTGCGGATTCTTGCCGGGCTTTCCCAGAGGCCTATATAATAGTAAAGATCAAAATAATAGCCTCTTGTACATTATTATCCTCTTTTCCAAGCCATATAATAACTCGATTCGCATTCGAATAGATGTCACCCATGACTCCAACTTGCTCGCCTCACTCCTTAATGTTCCCTTGATCTATACAGAGGGCATTGTTCGGCAGGAAAGGAGCCAGCAAGTGGCCCACCCCGGTCAGATCCTCGGGCCCGCCAAGGTTTATGCTCGGCACCTAGTAGGCTACAATAAACCCTAACTGAGCATAATCGAATAAAGGCTCGCCTGAATTCCTTCCTCCGTGATGCCGCATCTTTATCGCCAACCGAATAGCCATTCGACATCTATAAGAATAACGCACTATTGTCCCTATCGCGTATCAGGTCGTTTATCATACCTTTGCCAAGTCAATAGCAGGCCGATTTATAGGGAATGCCTTATTCCTAATAGCCACTACCTCACAGGGAATAAGAATAAGAGATTTCTAGACCTTAAGAAGCATCTCGTCTCGCGTTAAAGTTACTCTACTTGAAAGCTTCAAAGCACCGTGGTATTAATGCGAAGATAAATAAAAAGCTAAGGGAATGAAAGAAACCAGTTGCATCTCCTTATACTTGATCTCTTTTCCTCAAAAGTCCTACTAAAGGAACAACAACGAGATATATAGATAGGCCTATAATCGTTTTTTTTTACTTTCTCTTCCATCATTTGACACGCTAGCACCGCTGGAAAACATTATAGTATCCGATCGAGCATGTTTCTTACTTTGGTAAGGCGGAAAAGCAAAGGCATAGGGGTCGTCTTGTTTGCGTGCCTCTGCTATGCGGTACTGACTTCTCATCGAACCATAGCAATTCCCGTTAGCCGCCATGTTGGCGCCAGACACGTAGTGTGTTGGTATATCTGTGCTGTGCTGACGACTGCTTGAATTTGGATCATGGTGGATGAGCCCTTGGATCCTGGCTATTTCCCTCTGAGCCAATTGAGTCCTCTCATGTGTCACACCAAAGCTGCTCAGCGAGATCTTATACCTGCTTTCACAGTATTTCAGTGCTTCGATGTAGTGTCCCTGGCTCTCCTGGCTCACACCCAGATAGCTAATACAGTTCAGCGCTTCGAGTGGGTAAATTTCTCCACCATGGGTGTTGAAGAAACGAAGTGCGCGTTTAAGGTATGCATCAGCGTCCTCGAAATAAGCTTGTTTCATCAATACAAGGCCATAATTATAGACGATATTTGCCGTTTGATGATGATCTGGCCCATACATCTTCTCACATAGGTCCATCACCCGTTGACTTATATGCCTAGCCTCCTTCAGCCCAGTCGGCTGACCAATCATCATTAGTGTGACAGCAAGATCATGAAGGTTGTTAAAAACCCTAGGATGTTCAGGGCCGTACTTATTCGTAAGTGATATGTCGAGGTTACGTTGGATTCGAATAGCATCGTCGTAACGTCGAGTATCTCCCAGGACCTTCGAAAGAGAATTTTCGCCCAGAAGTCGCGCTCGTTCAGCTTCTTCGCCATCAAAGTTTTTGAGTTCTCTAAGAGCAATTCTAGCTTCTGATTCGGCTTCGGGGTACCTTTTTTGAATCCGTAAAATACCACTCAGGAAAATCTTTGCCTTATAAATTTTGACGTCCTGTGAGCCGAAAACTCTGGAATAAGAATCGATAGCTGAACAGTAAACCTTCTCCGCTCGTTCATATTGCTTCAAATCCTGAAAACAGTGTCCTTGTTCGCATAATGCATCGATGGTTGTAGGGTCGTCATTGCCAAGGTTTGTGCGAAGGGTCGTCAATGCAAGGGTTATATATTTGTCGGCTCTTTGGAGTTGTCCTTTCCTCCTCAAGTACGCTGATGCTGCTGTCAAAAGTATTCCAAGTTTACCCGCCGGTAGGTTTGAATTCATTTTGTATTCCGCCATAGCCTGAACATGTGGCAGAAGTTCAGCTGAGAGTTCCCAGGACTCGTATTCCTCCAAAGGAAAGACGCTCACGAGGAAATCGAGGGCGTTGGTGGCCCACTTGTCAGCAATGCCAAGATCTTCAAGCCGATATTGAATGAACTTCTGCACTAGGCGGTGAAGTGTGTACCTTTGGCCTCTGGGCCCCTCTGAAACAGTTAAAAACGAATAGGACAAGAGAGTGGAAATTGACATTGCCAGATAGTAGTTCTTATTGGCCTTTTCTTCCTGATAACCAATCGAATTGGAATCTGGTCCAAGAAGAAGATCGTGGGGTATGTCTTGCCGATTATAACAAGACATTAGTCGAAGCAGGTCGGCAGCCTTGGGCTCCTGTTCTTCCAGCTGCTTCATTGTAATTATCCATGTCCTAAAAACAGGATTGTTCCCTTTATAATCTCGTGTCTTGTCCCGGAAATCGTGCAAGAGGGGCCCAGAAGACGACACAGATCCTTCGGCCTCAAAGTTCGTCAAGTATTGCGTAATCGACCACGATTTATGTCGTATGAAACTAGCCGCCTGTACAATTGCAAGTGGCAAACGGTCGAGTGTAGTAATCAGGCGTGTCAGATCATTGTCGCTGAACGCCTCATTTTTAAACTTACTCTTGAGAAGGGATTTGAGATCCTCCTCATCCATTTCGCTTACTTTAATAACTTGCCCCTCGCCAGTCAATCTTAGTGCATCATCTTTTGTTCTGGTCGTATAAAGAATGAATCCATTCAGGCCGCGTGGAATATATTTTGCAAGGCCTTCACGATCAGTAGAATCATTTTGGATAGACGTTTCTGAATAATTGGCCTTCGATGTTCCCCATAGAGTTGTTGAGTCGTCCGCATTATCAATTATCATAGCCCAGTTTGATCTCTTTTCCAGGGCTGTCTTGACAAGAGCTAAGACATCGACAGTTGATCCATGAAAACCAGGCAGTTGCAATCGTCTCGCAATTCCTAAGTAATCCTGTTCAAATCTCTCCTTACTGCCTCCGAAAACCCAGAAGATGAGAGTTTCCGGATTTCTTTCCAGCAGGTTGTAGGCATATTCCACAGCAATCTGAGATTTCCTGATATCGTTACTATTGATGGTAGACAGATGACAGGGGGAAAACCCTACCCGATCCCACCAAGGCCGTAGAGCGCCACTTCCCGATCCATAGGATGTCTGCTGAAGTCGTCCAGTAAAACTTGCAAAATATTTTGTTGCCCCACAAAATCGAAGTTTCGTTGGAAGGGAAAGTAGGGGGCCTGAGCTGATCGCACTTGAGTAACAATCGTTCACATATGGAGAAGTATACTTACTAGCTTTGGCAAGTGAATTTTTAGGCAAACATTGCCTGATTTCGGAGAAAATAAGCTTCAATCCCTGATCACCAGTGGAAGCATGTCTACAGAGCGCTTTGTGGTCATATCCTGGCATAAGAATCTTTCGTTCTAAGGGAGAGCCTAGATGAGCGCTTTGGTCGTCGACAACCTTCAAAGTCAGATAAAGCAACTAAATAACTGGACAGTCGACTCACTCTCTCATTTAGTCCCAATGTCTTCTTGCCTTCGACAAACGATATAATCTTGATATCGGCTGCATGTTTCTTGAAATCCTCAGCCGCAGCCGCCAATTCAGGAGAGTGCTTTTCCAAGGTTCCCAGAAGATCGGATCGCATCTTTCCTAGAAGTCTTGATGCCTGCAAGCCGACTACGAGGACATTCGCTGTTTTCGCCATTATGTTGCCATATCTAGCATACCCTGACCCATGGTGTGGGGTTCCGAGAAATAGTATTCCTGCTATGGCATTTCCAATCCCAGGGTAGTTTTCAGGTTTCGATTTTGCCATAGTAATTGCCTGGTTGATTTGTGTCAGTATGGGGACTCCAATGTATAGAGGTCTAAGAAACCAACCAATTTTGCAACTATGCCACCCATGCTGTGACATACGAGCACCAGAAGACGACGTTGCTGCAAATCACCTTGTCAGCGTCATCTTTGGTGGCAGAAACAAACTAGAAGGATACCTGATCGGGTCTCCTTCTCTCTAGCTTTACAGCTTCTAGAAAGCTTCTCGCAAAGTCGTCCAAAGTCCCAGTACCACGAGAGAACGCAAAACCAGAGTCGTAACCGAAAGTGTAAACCCTTGCCCCTGGAAACTCGCTCGGCACAAAATCACTGAGCCAATTCTTGCCATTGCTATGAGTCCAAGTCTTGAATGCTGTACCACCTAGTCCATGAATTGCAATTATGTCGGCATCAAATGACTCTGTTGTCTCCTCGAAATTCCTGGTGGACGATACACTATCATCAGGGTTCAAACGAAATAATCCAAAGGATTCTTTTGATTCATTGATGTTATCGTGGTCTACGTTCTCCGGTTGATTGGATTTCGATGCACAATGATCGCTTGGGCTCTTGAAGGAGCCCATGGTAGCCCCTCTTGAAGACGATGGATCGTTCATGACCAATTTCGTGGAAAACCAGGAACGGAAAGAGTGTAAGAAGATCAAGAGATAGGGGCAACTAAAACTTGCGTACAAATCCTCACACAAATAAGATAGAGGGAATAATCCGTAGACCGAGAGGGAACAACAAGCTCAGAGATGTCGTGAGGTTTTCAGAGGCGGCTGGGAGAAATTGGCGCAGCAAAAACAGAAGGTAAATGGGTGCCTAGTGGAATTCTTACATTTGAGGTCCTTAAAGTTACCGCACCCTCTGATCATCCTTGCCAACAGAAGGTGGCTTGCGTTGTGTGACCTCGCGCCCAGTTTGCTCGTCATGATACCCAATCATGACGTTACTCTTCATGGCCGTACGCGGCACCACCGGCTCCTAGCTAGGCTTCCATGTTCTAGTCAACCAATCTCAACGTCTCAGTATCAGGCTGTTAGTATTGATTGGGCGAAAACCACTGAGGTTCGCACCCGCCTCAGCCCAGCTTCTAAACTTAGACTAACCTTCAATTTTAAAGTAATTTTAAGAGGAATTTGTTATAATACAAGTATTTTTTAAGAAAACGTATATAAAATAACCCTGCTGTTACGTGGCACCGGTCACGTAGTGCCACTACACGTGACTTAGCATGCAGCCAGTGCTTTTGGCCTGGCAAACAGCCTCCGGCTCAATGTAAGCTCTTTACTACCACTGCAGCACTCACCTTATCGTGACACTTACTTTATACCTAGAAATATAAAATTGAGGAACTTTTAATAACTTCCCTTATAAAAGACTATGTCTAATAAAAATAAAAATAAAAATAAAAATAATTATATGAGTAAAGTTTTCTCTCCCTATAAGGCTTTATAATTTGATTAAGTAATAGTTACAATATAAGAGAGTAAAATCTGTAAAAGAGGTGCGTGGAAAAGAGGTGCAAAAGACGGTTTTTAGCCGAAAACCACTGGGTTTATTGCTTCGGTGTTAGCGAGGCGTGAGCCCCCTATTCGCCAAAATAGGGGACAGGGACGGCATAAAACATCTTCTCAAAACTTTAATCAAGTTCAGCAACTCGTTTGATCTTCATTTTTACACCAATATAATCTCGCGCTCCTCCACATCCCCAAAGAAGTTATGAGGATCAATATTCAGCGGCTCTCGAGAAGGCTCTATCCCACGTCTTCCAAATCCAACGATAGTCGGGTACCTCAGCCTTGGTGCTTCACAGGATAGCTCGATATAGCCTACTCTCCTATATTCCAAGCAAGTGTCGGATCCATCCATTGGGGCAACGGCGATACCTCTATTCAACCACAGATTAAAAGGATTCATTCTTCCTTCTTCAGTCTCAGGTTCTAGTTTAATTTGCAGACAGTAGATTTCATCTGGTACGTCTTCGGAGACATCTGGTAAAAGCCAACCTACTTCCTCGGTATCAATACCGTTTGTTTTGAGTAACGCAAACGTTTGTGGTCCATCTTTCGAGTTGTCTGTTGTTGTTTGAAGATAGTTGAAGTCTTGATAGTACTCGAAGTGAAAGGGTCTGCCTTCTGGACGAGTTAAGCGGTACTCGAGTTCGTTCCTGCGTGCATCTGCAGTGTACCGCCACTCAGCTGTTCTACGTCGATAGAAACAGTCTGTAGTATCTGCCGCAAGCGGTCTCCATATTGCCCGCTGTAATTTCCCTCTGATTTGCAGCTTCATTGCCCCTTGTGGGAATGCTCGAAGCAGAATTGGTCTGTTTCGCAAGCTTGGACGAAGTGGTGCCAGTTGTTCCAATGGGATGGCGATTTCGGCAGGATCTATTGTCTCTTTTCGTCTGACCCCAACAATCTCTTTCCCGCTCTCAATCCGTTCGGCACCGTTGCCACCATCAAAAGAAATCCCCTGAACTTCAAGCCCACAATTTGAACTCCAGCATTCAGGAGAGTCATGCGAGATAGCCCCATCTACCGATGTCCATGACCAGCTTGGGCCTCTAGCACCATCCGGCCGTTTCCTTCGAATACCCGCAGAGACATACCACAAAAGATCTCGTGGCAGGGTATCCTCCCAAAGCCCTGCAATATAATGTGATTTCAGGCCGGATTTCCACAAATACTCAGCTATGCCCGCTATCGCCACCATCTTGTCGCCAGCTTTTGTCAAATTCCGTGGTGAGTATTCAGCCACGTGATCCCACCAGACCCTGGAGAAGTAGTTGTCCGCGTTTATTTGCTCCACTTCCAAATTTTCCCAAGCTTGCTCTGTCTCCAAGCTTTTGTCGATCTTGTGGTGATGGTCGTTGGGAGTATTGGTAGTCGAGAATTTCCTCCACCCATGATGATGAGGCTCGCGCACACTTGCATGGACCTGACTGCTTCCAAAGAAGATCATGATTTTCGATAAGGCCATTTCCTGATAACACCACCCGCGAGAGTTCCACCTGGACATAGTAATATCTCGCTGCCAAGACATTTCAACACCGCTGCTTTTCGATTGGACATACCATGGCAAGTCAACAGCAGAAAGTAAGCATGGAGTCATTGCTAGAGGATTCTGTCCCACAAACATGCTTTCAGAAGCGGCCCAAGATTTGACTGCTGCAATTGTACATACAGCATTGTTGTACACATCACACATGCTGATTGACTCAATGTTCCAATCGTCTATGGAGTCCTGGAGGATGCAGAGTGCGTCAACCCAGAGATAGCGGAATCCTAACTGGCTGGTAGCAAGGATAGCATCTTGAATGGTCTGGCCCAGAGAAGCTAAAGGGATTTTTTCTTGAAATCGTTGCTGATTTGCCCTGGTAAGCCTGGTAAAGTCACCGTGTCCCCAGCAATAACTCAAAGCAATATATTCCACCCCTTCTGCTGTCCCTTCTCGTAGATCTGTCCCGTTGACGAGCTTGACGTCTGGAGGGACGGAACTCCCGACATCAAGGAGCCTGGTCGGAACAAATCCTTGGAGTCGTCCCTCTGATGGCACAAAATTCCAAGGATACTGCCAATCAAATCTGGCATCATATTGTTGTTCTGGCAATTCAGGTCGCACTCCAGCAGTGTTTCGAGATCGGAGATGCAGCCATTTCTTTATCATCGCCAGAGCTGCATTGGACCCAGTTGAGCTAGCCACCGGCTGTACGATTGGACCTCCTCCAGAAAGTGTAGTAATGCGTAAAGGTTCCACAGCCTCAACGCCCACCTGTATCCTTCTTATACCATACCCTCTCACAGCTTGCAACCAAAGCCTAGGAACCTTAAAGCCTCCGAAATGCGGGATAATCTCCCGCCGAAACGGCGGCGGATGTGTTTCCGAAACCAACTCAACTAAACGCAACCGAATCCAAATCAAACGTCGGCCGCGAAACTCCTCTCTCACCCTGGATAGTTGCTGCTCATCTGAGCTAACATCTGGCATCATTACATCCATTTCTTGCTGCACGACCTCATCAGCCCGAATCAAAGTTTCCTGCTGTTCCTGATTAAGAGACGCCCAAACCAGTGTGCAAAGATGACAGCCATTCGCGGCCGAGTCGGCCAGCTCTGATGGCGTATTCCAGAGAGCAAACCGCTCGGAGTTGTCGACTTTGAAAGCGCCCTGTATTGCCCAATGTTTCCGTTTCAGAAACGTAGAGGAGTTACAAACTTTTTCACATCTAGCGCAGATGGCGTGGGGCCGGGAGTCGAGTTGTGCAACTTCTGCTGCAAACTCTTGTGCGGGGGAAGTTATTGGAGAAAGGAGAAAGGATTCTCTTTTTCTGCGTCTTCTTTTAGCCTTCCAAGAGAGAGAAGTGGATCCTAGGATGATGGCCGGGTCTGTTTCGGTAACTTCCAGTTTAGGAATCTCAGAGCTGGAGACGCAACATGTGCAGCGAACGAAACCGGGAAACATTTGTTTCTCTTTCACCTCATTCGGTGGACATGGTAAAGAGGTTCCTCGGGCTATCATATGAGGTGGCTCGTACAGGAACCCGCCCGTTTGGTCTTCATTCTCCCGAGGTTGTGCTCGGCTCGAGGCAGCCAGACCAACTCGGGAGGCTTCATCCCCCATTTCCTCAGGTGCGCTCAGCATCTGGCGCTGTGCCTCGAGCATGGCAATTGTAAGGCTCGCTACACTAGTCTTAGACTCGGATTTCGAACTCCTCGATATCTTTCGCGGCCCCCTAAGACCTCGCAGAACTTCAAACCATAACGCTATAGGGAAACAAACGAATTGAATCCACGCGAAGTATGGTGCATGTACGACCGCGATAGTCACACACCACACTACTGCCCCCATAGCCTTAAAAGCGAAGGTTGCATTGGCGCATCTTCTCACCCACGGAAGCTGCCCAAAGAGAAATTGCCCCAATGAAATGAAAATCGATGCCCCGACCACGACAAAGCCTATGATCCAGCTCACTCTTGTTCGAACAGTGGCAAAGGGGTATGTAAGCTGTAACAAACCGAGGCTTATTAGCAACATCGCACCCTTGACGAATTGGCGCGGGAGTGAGTTGTCTCCAAAGGCAGCGGGGTGCGTGGTTCTCTCGTCAAGGCCATCGAAGTAGGATAGGAGTCGACTGAAGCGCACCCTCTGCACGACAGGGAGGAAACGTCTTGCTAGTGGCCGTGAGGTGCTAACCACGAAGTAGAGAAGCGTCCATGGAACGAGGAAATATAGTATGATAACCATTCTGAAGCCGATGGAGGCGACTCAAAGGGAGATATAATTAGATGCGAATATGGCGTGGTCATGAAAGCTAATTGCAGTTGTGGTAGCATAGCTGCCTAGAAGAAAGACCCCTTTCTTCAGATAAGGTGTGATGTGAGATGAGAAGTGTAGACCACGAGGCCCGGCTGGTGCACACTTTACGCCCATCCAACCAAAAAGTGAGGCGAACAACCGAGCGAGTCTCTTATGTCACCTGAACAAATTTCATCCTTTACACATCAATACATCAATACCCCCTGCCTAGCGCCTCTACATCGTAGCTGAATACAAACTAAAAAAACAAGAAATTTGACATCGCTGTCTTCTCCCAAGTCTCCATCTCTTTTCTGAAATGATCGACAGCTGGAAACTTCTTGTAATCATTTTTTCCGCGTTGGCAAGCCCAATAATTTTGTTCTTTATTTACCAGCAAACGTTTCGGTATCTGAGGAGAAAGAGAGCGCGAGAGCTAGAGCGGATTTGGAGGATGACGCATGATGAGCTAGAGGGGGAGGGGGTATTTGACCAGTGACTTTGAGAGAAGCGGTCGTGTGGAACGAGAGTGAGTCCACTTTTGACCATCGATTTTCCTCTTTCTCTACCCCCTACCTAACGGTCGTCTTCACCGAACGAAGAGGCTCCGATTAAACTTGTTTCGATTATCTGTTTTCTAATATTGTTAGTGAGAAGGTGCATTTCCAAAGCAGAGAGCCTGCCATGCTTCAGCGATGGCCTTCCCTCTGCGCCTATGGAGTCTTAGAAGAGACAGCCATGAGCTGCAGCTGGAAGGTGCAATGAAGAATTCGGGAGATGCGGGATTGACTTGACAGTCAACAGGTGGGGGGCGCGGGGAGGGGGGTGCGAAGGAATGGGTTGCACTAGCTCAGGAGAGTTGAATATGCCAGAAAACTTTGTATGGAGAACTCATGTAGAATTGTTTTATTTCAAAATGGAACTGCGCGTGAATGATAAATACTTCTCTGGTGTTTAGCCTTCGGGATTATAGGGTAATACGTCGAAGTCCCTTCTTATCCCGCGCCCTTCATTGAAATGGGCGATGCTCACATTTATACCATTGTAATGCTCAGATTTGCTTTGAGCAACATGTTGAGAGAAAGCCTGTTGTAATTGTTCTTTTTTGAGAGCCAGTGTGAGCAGCAACACGGATGAAGTACATTCTGGGGGCGAGAGAACTCAAGTGAATTTTAGCGGCCTTCGGCTACATTTAGCGAGCCGCTGAACCCCTATCTGCCAAAATAGGGACGGAGACGGTACTACACCCCTCTAAACTCCCCTTTTCAGGCAATAAATGGTGAAACTTTTTCAAGTTCAATAAATCCTTTATTATTGCATATGAAATAGAAAAATACAATGGCGCTGCTAGAACTATTCTGACTGCTTTTAGCTTCCAAGTTCAGCAAACGAGACGGGGCCTAATCCGCGCAACGTACGTAATACGGGACCATGTCAGTTTACAAGGGAAGCCGCAGCCGCACAGGTTATGGTTGGGGCCATATACGAATACGGCAACAGCAATGAAAATCACCGTCCAAGTGCAGGGTTTAAAAACTACACCGTGTAACGGGTTGCACAGGGACAATCCAAACACCCCTGTTTTTACTCGAACCCCATCTCAACTGCAAACTACTCCAAAGCACTTCCTTCCACATTCAACCTCAAACTTCCACCACAGCACTACACAGCATGGCCATCAAAAACCTCACGGCTCTCATAACTGGTGGCTGTGGCCAAATCGGCCTCGCCATCACGGAGTATTTGCAATCCCATCATCCGAGCACCAAAATTCACATTCTCGACATCTCAACACCCATCAAGCCATCCCCAGGCGTAATTTACCACATAGGCAGCATCACCGATGCTTCCGTAACCTCCTCTCAATTCTCTCTCGTCAAACCAGAAATCGTGTTTCACACAGCCGGACTCATTCCATCAATCGCGGCACGTTTGGGGATGGATGAGGAAAAAGATTTTATGAATGTTAATTTGGAAGGTACGAGGATTGTCTTAGAGGAAGCGAAGAAGGCCGGAGCGAAGGCTTTTGTGTACACAAGTAGTGCGGACGTGATGAAGGGAAATAGTTGGCAGGATCTGAGGGGGGTTGATGAGGAGATGCCGATCTCTGAGGTATTTGATAATCCATATGGGAAGTCAAAGGTAAACATTTTTCTTTCTTTGGGTTTTCTCTTTATGGGATTGGGGATGGTTTGAGTGAGAACTATCTCACTATTGTTCGCTTGTCTTGACTTCATTTCAAGCTCTGCGTCGAATTGAAAGTCACGTGCATAAGCCAGCACTCCCCGAACTGCCCATATACTTCTCGGAACATCCAGGCGCAATTTAGGATTCCTCGTTGCGGTGACAGGTTCCTGAACTAACGATCTCCATCAAGGCACTAGCGGAATCCTTGGTCCTCTCCGCCTCCTCACCCACTTTCCCTACCACCGCACTCCGAGCCCATGCAGTCTTCAGCGCAAAAGACACCAACCTCCTCCCCCTCATGCTCGCCGCACCAAGGAACCTACATCTTGGGCCAGGAACAAACCTCTACGATTTCACCTATGCGCCAAATCTTGCTCACGCCCACGTTCTCGCAGCTATCAACCTCCTCACAACCACCTCAGCCCCAAGGTCGGCAGCAGGGAAAGCGTTTTTTATCACAAATTCTGAGTCCCTCCCATTTCGAGTGTTCTCGAAGCTGTTGTGGACAGTATTTGATGGGAAAGAGCCTGGGAAGGGAATCACAGTGCCGACGAATGTAGCGGTAGTGATGGTTTGGTTATCAGAGAAGATTGCGGGGTGGACGGGCAAGAAGCCTGTATTGACGACCAAGGATTTGGGGGATAGCTTGGCTGAGAGATGGTTTGACTGTGGGAGGGCAAAAGAAATTTTAGGGTATGTGCCGCAGGTGAGTATCAAGGATGCGTTGGTGGAAGCGGCTGAGGAGAAGAGGAGGTTGGGCAAAGCAGCGACAGCTGTCGCGGAGATTGGCTAGCGGTGCGTGTTGATCTTTCATGATATAAAGTTTAGCATGGAAGATAACCTGCAACAGTGGAAATGTGGAAATAATACAAAAAGGTTCTTCTTTACTTTGAAAATAAGAGAGGGAGATCCTCCCCAGTAAATGGAGGAAGACTTTGCAAAAGCATTGAGGCCTTCTCATTTCCAACTTTCTTCATCCATCATATGATTGGTTGCAGATTATACTGTAAGAGGACGTATAACGGCGCGCTGGAAGTACCAATATTCGAACAGCCTCAAGCCAATTGGATGCAAAATGATTTTGATTGTTCTTAATGGAAGCAAAAAAAAAAGGAGTTTCTCTGCTTCGATTTCTTATAAATACCGCGCCTCTTTATTTCCGAGCATTAAGAATCCGAAAATGATTTCAAACGCCTTTTATTGGATCCAGCTTTTTCTGAGCATACGAGCCAGCTAAATGATTGGCTACTCAAGTTTTTCCATGACGCCCCATGACCGCTCCACGTACATATTAGTATTCAACCTCGATTGCATCCCCAGTCACTACTTTCTAGGAGGATTAGAAGGAGTCAAAGTAACACACTCTGGATCCAGACGAAACGCCTTATCAATTGTGCACCCAAGTACCGCCGACATTGCGTCCATACACATGCGGCTCCTAAGTCTGCCTAGCTCGGCAATTCATAGTCTAGATCGTGCAGTGAAACCAGGAGGATTTGTTTGAGCCGTTTGTTGGTTCACAAACGGTCTCCATTGGAGACACGGAGAAAAGAAAAAGGCTGGGAAAGGAGATGGATAAAGAACCCCCAATCCATCTCCAGCCCGAGAGGGGTAAGTCAACCAAAAATATATTAACTCTTCATGCATAATACGCGAAAGCCATGACAGCTACTCAAGACAACAACAATCCTGCATTGAAATGTATGCCACTCGTATCTGAGGTAGTCACTAATGAGGGTGGAATTTAGGTCGAGGTGGTGTTACTCGGAAAGGCCTTGGTGGCTGGCGAGGTTGTTCCTAGTACGAATCTGTTAGCTCTCTCTCAGTACATGAGACGGAGAGATAAATCAACCTGGTAATGAAGTATAGGAGGTCGATTTTGTGCCAGGAGAAGTTGATACGTCCCAGGGTCAAGACCCAGAAGCGTAAGCGTTGGAGAAGGTACATCTGAGGAACTCTTAATGGACAACGAGGCAATACTGAGCGCGGATATCAACGAAGATAAGAATGATGATTGGTCTGACATGAAGCTTTCAAGCGAGTTGAGGGTAATCGAGTCAGCAGTAGGATTAAGGCGTAAATTGGTCGTTGGGGAACTTAAGACTTCATTAGAATGTATTCAACGATACAACGGCTATGTGGGACAATAGATACGTAATCAAACCCATCATCATTAGTGACTCCCTGAACAACACAGCTCCATCCTCCATCGACCATGTCACCAGGATTTGCCACACAGATTTCGAACTCCAGAGAGAATCAAAAATTCTAATTGATGATCTAACCTAAAGGCTAAGCAGTTTTAAGGAACCTATGTTCATCTCTAGAGAATGGCGATCGGCGATCACATTGAAAGCGGTTCAAGCCTTAATGGAAAGCCGAACCCGAGCAGAATGAAGATAAATCGAGGAATCCAACATCAATGAGTTTCAATCAATACACACCTCGGCTTTCTCCGTTTGGGCCAGAGCGAATCCATCTCAAAATGAACCCCCCTTAAAGTGTAGCTCACAAAGTAGGTTTTCGCATTGGGGACGCGTGCGTGTTGCAATGTGGCTGTGGCTTGCTTGTGTTACTGGGATACGCTGGGCGCCAATGGTGAGCTGCAATGCTTTCTTCTGTAAAAAGAGATATTAAGCGACGCCAAGCACGACACAACTTCACCATGTCTTGGCAACTTATTTTGGGATGCAGTGCGGGATCCTTGAGCGCGATTCGGCTTCCCGGGGCAAATATCAAACCTGGACAGAACATGATGGGTGAGCAATTCACCAGGGCCGATCAGGTGCCCAGGCAGCTCAGATGAGCCGAGTGAAGATGAGTTGATGGTGAAGTAACCAGTTCCAGCATCATCGTCAGGGGAACATGAAACAAACTTCCGGCTCTCATCGGGATAGAAATACTCAATTGAGCTTCATTATCGTTGGTTCATTGACTAGAGAAAACGAAAAGACACTCGATTGTGTTTATGGTTCCTTCGTGACGCGAAAGCCAAGTTTTGCCAAAGTCGACACCTCGGAATACTTCATGTCAAAGCAACAAAAGATACCAGAAAGATGAAGAGAGCACACAAACCAGCCATCTATAGACACCAAAGCGAGCCCCATCAGAAGTTTTCGTCGTTGTTGCTGTCTGGGAAGCCGTCGCTGCCGTTCTCGAAGGAGGAGGAGTGATCAGCAAGCTTGAAGTCTTGCTCGGACCCAGAATGGTCACCACATCCCCAGAAGTTGGCTGCTACCATCAATAAAGTCTCACCTGAAGCCAAGGAAATGTACTTACAAGTCCAGTCCCGATGATACTTTGAAAGTTGGGACAGTCATAACCGATCAAATTCGACAATGTGGCCGGGATGCCCAAGCAAGAAGTGTTTCCCGCAAAGTTGCATTGATAATCCAGGCTTAGAAACCTCGGTTGACAAACACATGAAGTGAAGGCGGCATCGGGAGTCTTAAAGGTATTTCCGCAATTGTCGTATAGTAGTTGGGCAGTTTGGCATGCATCTACTGCACCGGGGCAGAGTGGGCGATAGGTTGCGGTAATTGTACCGAGCGGTGGTGTCGTGACTGTCAAGGAGGGAGGGAGAAAGGTGTTACAAAGGCTATGCCACAGGCTCAGTGCAGATTGGTACTCGTAGTCAAGGTGGCCGTCTTGGAAACAGACTCTTACTTCGCTCTCGCAGCTACGGTAGCAAGTCAGTTTAAATATTGCCCTTTGGTCAGCGAGCGAAAGTCGTACCCAAAGAGAGAGTTAATGTAATCTTGATTACAAAGACACTCTTTCCACGCTTGATCGGTGGGAAGATATGGGCAAGTGTTGCCAAAATATAGGAAGTGGTTGCAGTTTGGGAATGCTGTCTGTTGACTTTCGGGAACGCAAGAAGGTGAAAATAAACTTGATGTATCCGCGAGAGCAGAACTACATATATTTGAGACAATAACAAAACTGTAGATCCATTTCATCGAAAAGGATTGCATTTTAAGATCGATGAAAGATGGGATCATGAGGGGTGGAATTCTCTCATCGATTCTGAGGACTTGGCAAATGAATACAGCCGGGATTGTACTTTTGTAAAGGCGGGGTAAAGGTAGAAATCCACAATAAATAAAACGTTGTCTGCCTAGATAAGCAACGCCGGGGCGAATTTCAACTTCTCTCCCTGGTGGAGCTGCATGTGCTATGTGTGACATGCAAGGGAAAGTTGGTCAAGTGGCACTATGTCTGCAGCTTGCTGGGCTTTGATTGTGCGCCGGGAGCTCTTGGTTACCTTAAACAGGTGATGGCTTGGGAATTTAGTGGTGTGTTGCCGGGAGCCCTTGTCTATGTCTCAAATTTTTTATCCCGCTCCTCATCCCGCTTTGTCTTCAGCTGAACCCACACGACAAAAAACAAATATGGCCATCACTTAGGTTTCCACACTACGGCGAAGCCTCGGTCAATCGGTTTCATCGATTACAGGAGCCGGAGAACATATGCGGTAGAGTACGTATAAACTCAAAATATTTGTTAACGGTGCTAAGGATACAAACAGACTCGTAGTTCAGTACTCCAAGGATGCCAAAGCGAGCTGCACAGGCTGTGCCAACCTCCACAGCATCACCGAATGGGATTTCAGAGAGCAAGCTGCCTCGAAATGGGTCACCTCCGCTCCCAAATCAGAGAACCCTCTTGGAGAAAGCTCAAGCACTGGCATGGAAATGTATCCATCCATGGAGAACTTTCCAGAGCCACAAAGACAAACGAAAAAGAATCAAGAAGCCCCCGGAAAAGAAGCCACCATTTAATCTGAGTCTTTGGGGGCTGCTAATTCTGCTCATCTTCGAAGTCCTCATACTCACCGCCCTCGCGGTCCTCTGGGTTCTTACTACGAAGTACAACGGATTCGTTGATGTTCCCGATACCCCAGCATCAATAACAGCCTCCAAAAACATCCACGAAAGACTCCTATGGATTTATTCTCTTCTTTGGACTTCCGTCCCCGCATTCATCGTAACAATGTGTGGAGCGCTTTTTGCAACCACCCTCCGTGCACTGCAGGATTCTCGGCCAACCATCGAACTGAGAAGAGCGTCGGATTCAGGCTCGAAAACTTTTTCATATGGCCCCAGAAAAGCTGGGTTTTTATTGCCATTCAGGAGAAAAGCTCCAAGTCATCAAATAGGGGAGAAAGCGAAGGCAAAGCACACTGTTTTGCTTGACTACGGACGTGACTGGTTTCCGTTTGTCGATTCATACCATGCGTTTCAAAACAAACATTTCCTCATCAGCGCGTGCACGATAGTAAAGTGGTTCTTTGTCGCAATTGGCCCATTGGCAGCAGCTATCATTTCCATCGGAAATGTTCCTTCTTCCAAAGGCATTGCGGTAACAACCAATTCCTTTTTCGATGACAATAAGAACGTGTCATCCAGCCGGCTCGCTCTCCAGTCTACCTCGGCCATCCTGCTCAATAACGCAAGCTCACATCCCTGGTCCACGGATATGTATTCTGTTGTGCCCTTCTTCGCAAATTCCGAAACTCCTGGAAATCTGTCAGCCGACACCAGGACGTTTTCTGGGACGTTAGACTGCGTCCCTATTAGCGTTGAGACTCTCCAAAGTGCAGGCAACCTCACTCTGGTCGATCAAGTTGTTCCTACCTTTAATTTCGTGGATCGAGGGTGTCCAGGAAGCACATTCCTTACGGTAGCCCAAGATACACCTGTGTACGCGAACACTTTCTATCTAGATTGCCCGTACGAAGCTGTACCCATGAGGCTGGTGCTCCTCACCGGGGTTTACGAAAATACTTCCAGGTATCTTCTCGGCAACGTTTCCCTCATATCATGTATACCGTACTTTTGGAAATCTATTTCCCGCGTCACTGTACTATCCGCTGCCAATTCACTAGAAAAACCCGGACAGATTTTGAACATAGTTGAAGATAAGTCTTCCGTCAAACAATGGCTGCCATCTTTGTGGAGCAGATGGATGCCCGAAATTACCGAATATCGGGTTCAAGACCCTCGACTCCTAATGGATGCGGATGATTTTGGATTCATAACATATAACTACGCAATGAATTCAAGCGGAACGATCGACTTCGCTCAAGCAATGAATATTACCTTCAGCGTCCTTTTCGCTACTTTCTCCACGTTGGAAGCTTACTCTCCTTTACCGGAGAGTTTCGCTTCCAATGGAACACTTTCGCGACCTGGGAACAGACTTTTCGTTGTCTTCTTGCCAGCAACGATCGTCACCTTCGTCATGGCACTCTCTTTTGTGGTTACTATATGGATTTCATTTTATGCCTACAAGCACAGAGTTATTCTCAAAGAGCATGTGGGTCTGATCTTAGGGCACGCACTCTTGTTGGAAGGAAACGACGGGGTCGGCAGTTTTGTCGACGCAGTCAGGGCAGACTTACGAAGACAAGCAGAGGTGGCTATCAGAGCACCGGATAATAAGACAATCAAGAAAATTGGGGAAGCTTCCAGTGATGTGACTGTGAATCTCCAGATGGAAAATATGATAAGACATGGAGATCTCGTCCAGTACGCGGAGGACTTTGGAAATTTGAAGGACTGGGACTGCTGGGTAGACGACGATGGAAAGCTTTGGATGCGAGAGCCTGCGCCAACAGACAATTCCACTTAAGCAAAGCCCCGGAAGCGTATGCTCGGGCAGATTATTAGAAATAATGCAACACTTTCAGCTAGGAAGCAAAAGACTTTCAAGTCTGGTCCCAAGTCTCCACCTCCACCCCGAAAAGAATCTGCACCAATTCAAAACAACATAAAAATCGCAATACATCAGCTTTGAAATCCAAGCTATCACCTCTCTATAGTCCACTTGGCAGTCTCCTTCTCGACTCTCATAAAACTACTAAAGCAGAACCGTCACCAATTTAATCGACCTACGAACCACAATATAAACTTCCCAATTTCACTGAATATAATATCACTGGGTCACACGTTGCAAGTCTTTCAAGCAATGAATCAGAACGTCAAGATCCTGTTCGAGAAAGTCAACAACCACCATGCCCACCTCACTCCACTATCATGCACTCGCGCGTCCCATTCCACCCCCTCGACCCCCTCGTTACCCTCGTTACCCTCGCTACCCTCACGCTTCCTTCCCTCCCAAAAAAGAAAACATCCAAAATCCCAAACCTCAACGGGAACCTACAAAACGTCGTCCGATCACGTGACACACATCCAACTCCCTCCCCACTCACCACTCTGGTGAACCTAGCGCGCCATCGACCATCTCAACCCCCGTCTCATATATCCTCCACCCTCTCCATGTTCCCTCCCGCGAGCTTGCGAGCAAGCCCTCCCTCAATCGATCTCGATCTCGATCCCAAGTTCAGCCACGCTCGCTGGTGCTTTTCAAGCTGTGGCGCTGCGGCGGGGCTGGCTCCGCGCCAGGACACACTTTCGCTGCTTTTGCTCGACGTGGGGTGAGATGGATTGGAAGAGTCTGAGATTGTGTGATTTTGGTCTTGAAATTATAGCAGATGAAGAGAGTGGTTGGGGGTGGTGGTGAGTGGTGGTGGAGGGGTAATTGCACTTGCAATTGGCGCTTCGAGTAAGCAGCTGGACGACAAATTTCGTTTCGATGATATTTGTTTATTGTTGGGATTTGGAAATGAGCAATTGAAATTTGGATTGGGAGGGGAGGGGGGATGCTTGGGCTGATGTAGACTGGAGGGAGATTGGCGAGACGATCTTGCGGGAGATCGGCGTCGTCGGGGCGATTGTGATGAGCTTCGAGCTTTCCTAAAGTAGAATTGACAGAACGTGGCAGAACGTGGCTAACAAGGGATGGCAAGACGGTCGGTCGTAAATAATACTCCGTAGTGTGAACTTTCACAAGCTTGATGGAAATGGTCACTAAAAATGCAAAGAGGAACCGCCAGTAAAATATACAAGAATCGAATTGGTTCAAATATATAGTTTATCGTCAAGGTCATCAACAGGGTATGTACAAGAATTAACCTCCTCTCTTCATCGATCCAAACAAGAATCGAAGACTCAAAAAACGGTGTCAAGTGTAAGAATCAAAAATACCAAGTATCGATTCCCGCTCCCTTGGTGTTGAGAGCAAGGAAGATATATCCATTATGCAACGCCGTGAACCATCCCTCCTTTGCCAATTGATTGGGTATAGACGCCACTTTTGATTCCATTTCCTGGTGTGTTGTGTCGAATCGAGTCGAATCGAGTCGCTGGACGGACACACGTATGTAATCTCCCATCCCATTCCCAATTTCCCATGTACAGTTTTCTCATCCTATCTACACACCACCCTCGCACTTGTCGTATATACGTTCAAAGCAACCAACTCGCTACCAGCAACACCAATGCAAATATCCCAACATTTGAAAGTGGTTGCGAGACTTGGGCGCCAGATGTGGCTGCAGCGGCTAAGCTGGAATTCACGAAGGAAGGTCCACAGTTGACGTTCACTTGCATTGCTGCGGAGACGTAGTCGAATGCGAGAGCACTGCTCCTATCACTGGTCGCAGCTTCAAACACTGCCATCGTCTGCTTCAAGCACGTTGAACAAGTCGGCTGACTGCCTCCCACCAAAGTAGTATTCAGCGGCAGGAAGTAAATGTAGCTGTCCGCCGGGTTCGTGGCATTGGTGATAGCGTCTGCGAAGCAATATGATGCCGTCGAGGGATTCTTCAAGCATGAAGCTCGGTAAAGAGGTTGGTACGCCATCAATCCCAGACGTGCGTATGAGATTAGAGGGTTTTCAGCTTCGAAGTCCGCTCCACAGGTAACTAGGGTCGTGAGGTTTGCAGCGTATTGTGCCATTACTTTGCTGCATGTTGGGAAATCTGCTGCGCAGGTATGGTCGAGGGTTTGGGTTATGCGGGTGACTGATTTCTCGGTTTGGAAGAAGGAATTGGAGTTCTGTTAAGTGAGATGTTAGATAATGTTGTAGGGGAAGAGGGACCAATTAGCGGGCATACTTGGAGGAGTAGAGAGAATGGCAGGCATGATTTGAATGTGCTATTCGTGAGCATGCTAGTCATGAAGGATGAACAGCTTGAAGTGATGTTGTTGCTGAATCCGATGTCGAAAGGAACTGGCAATTGGCTGGTGGCAAGCGGCGTAGCCGCGATCAGAGTGCTTGACAACGCCACTGTAGTAGTAGCCGTCCCCGACACGGTTGACGTTGAACTTGATGAGTCCTTCGAAGCATGTTCGTCGCGCCGTCTAAGATCGCCAGCTGTTTCGTGCAGCGCTTGCAGCCTTTCCGGGGTCCACGCTGGATCAGCAAGAAGTGGTCCCAACCCGGCTAGACCAGATGCCGATCCAGATCCCAGACCATCGTCCTGGGCCTCGATCATCTGCTCTTCAATGTACGCTGTTGCTGAAGAAAACGAAAGACAGCATGTTAGGAATATCAAGAAGAAAAGGTGGGTGGTTTGGATTGGGCGATGACGGAGCCAAGGCATGTGTTCGTTTCTTCGCCGAGGGGTGGGATTATGGTGCGACACCGGATGTGTCGAAGATAGAGTCGTCAAACAATAACAGACATCCCGTTTGCCCTCCATTATGAATTCGAAATGACGGAATAATTCAATCTCTTATAATCGTGGTTCCAGCATCACTCGGACTGTGAGTCGACAACCAGATGTCGTCCCCGGAATACCTCGAACTTGCGAAAGCGGAAACAGACAGGTCCCAGAAGCAAAGCTTTGGAAGGCGTGGGAGAGGCTTTGCGTTATCCAATTGTTCTTTGGCTACCAGCTTCTGCAGATTGTCGGGATGAGCTGCAGGTTGAGTCTCTGGTCAGCCCTGGTTGGTTTCTTCTAGGTGATCGATCTTGAGTACTTCTAGAAGGATGGGAGGGTGTGGTTGGGTGATCCGAACATAGGTAAATGAGTGACAATAGTTGGTATCCGTAGGTGTTTGGAAGTGTTCTGTGTCCAGACCTTGGTGTTTTCTCCTCAGTTGGGTATATGGGTCGATCGATACAGGCAGAATGCAACTCGCACCTCACTCGCACCGCATCTGATGGGAGCACCACCCTTTTGTTCGCGGCACCTTGTCAATATTGGACAGGCCTGCTTCCCGAGCGGTGGGGGGAGGGACTGGGACCGCTGGAACAGGCCCTGGACGCCCCGGCATGCAGCCAAATATTGAAATATTGAGCGCCCCCCAGCGCCTCTGCAGGGTCCCACAAGGAAGGCGATAACAGCCAGCGTCGATTCTGGCCTGGACACACCCCACCTGAGCTCACCTCTTCCCTACTCCGCAGAGCAATTCTGCTTTTTCCTGGCTGCCGGGCTATGGGGCTACATAAATTAAACCCCTCAGCAAAGACCAGATGACGGTAGGTTCCCCTCACGGTGCCGACCGTTGCAATTTGTGAGCGCCATCCTTCACTCCTAGTCTCCCTCTCCATCCCCGACTGCTCCGCCTCGCCTCGGGCTTCGATGGCTTCGATATTGCGGCACTCTGGCGACCGCCCGGCTTCCGGCCACGCCTGTCTGCCAAGGACTAGAGGACGACTGTGGTCTAGACCCGAGGTTGTGCTGTTCCTGAACGGGAATCTTCGATCTCGCTGCCGCTGTTCCTTGCCAGCGGGCCAACGCTCCTCCACTCGCGGGTCTACCTCCGTAGAACAGCTGCCAGGTGGCACGCAACTTCCCCATAAAAGTCTACGAGCCTTTCCGCTTCCAGAGCCGCTGCTTGCAAACGAAATGAGCCCAATGGCAGCCAGCGGCGGCAGCCATACCAATTGGACACTAGACCTTGGTTATATTTGGCGGCGTTAATGCCCACTTGAGCGCCAAATTCTACGCGACCGCGGCGGTTGGCTGAAGCTTTTCATGGCCAGAATGGAGTTTGATGATGTTTTCATGGCATATGGGTGTACGTGAATTTAAGATTCCCACCCTACTGAAAGAACCAAGAGTTTAAAGTTGGATGAGGAATCAACTTCAAACATGTAAGGTTAATGAGCAAAAAGCACGTTCCTTGCGGAACTGTGCGCGGGTACGACGCGAGCGCGGCGAAAACCGCTGGATACTGAATCACAGATAGCAGCAAGCCCTATTCATCTGCACAAAGCCCCCATAACGGTCTGTAAGATACTAAGACTGTAATCTATTCCTGCAGGTTCCCTCATCTGTGCATGAAAAACCTTGGCAGTATGCACCGACAAATTTCCATATATTAATTATCCTTCCGGCAAGTGGATCACTCGCATAACTTTATCAATTTTCTTCCTCGCTTGGCGGCATTTACCCCTAACCCCCAAACCTTAAGATCCCCCATCTCGTCTCTCCTCCAACCACCCCCCTAACACAATATCAATGTCGACACACCCTTCCAGAAAGTTTGCTGATTCTTCCATGGCACTCTTGATTACGCTCATTACACTCGTAGAAGGTGGCCTCTCTCGGCCCTTCGAAATATTACCCCGAGAATGGCGTGCGTGCCGTCTCTTGAGCTCCATCGGTGGTGCACTTGCGAACGTACGCCATCGACGGGTTGGCACCGTGTGGAGCCTGTCATCAATCGAATTGACTCTGAACGGTGCAGCGGCGCTGACGGGGAAGACGCAGTCAGCACACCAGGAACGCCACCAATATTAGATAGCGATAGCGATGCAGCCCTTCTGTCAAACGAGCGAAGCCACTCACCATGCCGTGCCGCCTGCCGCACCGATCATCCGATCTCGATGGCTTCCATGGTTTTCATTAGTCGCACGGTGGTGCTGCTTCATTACTGAAAGTTCGATGTTTGGTTTGAATCCGTCTGAAGTTTTCGGAGTCATTTTAACTCATTTCGACCTGAGAGAAGTCTCTGTTGACGATGAGATGACTGCACGTGTTCAAAGGAAATTATTTTGGAAATTGGCGAGCGCTTGCCTGGTGTGTTGATAAAGTGATAGGGGGAGACAGCGTGAGCACAAGTGTACGGTACGATGACACGAAGTTGATGGAAATTCCCGAGTGTGTGGACCGTGGGAGCCCGAGTGCGACTGGGGAAATTATGTGTCGCCCATTTATTGTACAAGTCTCATATCAACATCAGCGGCTGGTCCATTCGTGGAACTTGGAAGATAAGATCGAGTTCTGGATGTTGGTTTGGAACGCCAGGTGTGAGGCGGGAGCCATCACGCGGAAGTCACTCGTGCAGCACACTCCAAAGCACCAAGCCTTCTTTCTGCTGTTGGACGTTCGTCATCATCCCTCCCTTCAGTATTGGCACCGAAATTCCATGGGAGTACTTTCAATATGTCTTCTTCCTAACAAGGCCACAAGCAACATTCGACAAGCTCACTGAGCTCTACCCTGCTCTGTACAATGGTAGCTATGCCTGGACGAAGGGGCTCATGCGAGAAACACAAGTCTGGGCTGGTGGCGTGGCGCTAACGTGCAGTGTGAACTAGGTCCCGAAAGCCTTGCAACCGCTCAAGAAACACGGAAAGTAGAATCCTGGGGCGTACATGTCGAGCGTGCCGAATGATACTGTTGCTATGCATGGTATGGACCTCCTGTCCACTTTCTACGACGGGCCCGAAGGGAACCCGATCGCTATTCCCGAGGTAGCGCTCGTGCATCAGCGCTTCTTGGTTAAATTTATGAAGTATGGGGACCCGAATGTTGTGGTAGGGGTCCCGAAGTTTGAGGGGTATGATGCGGGGAAAGGTAATAATCCGTTGAATTATAATAGATTGGATGGGAAGGGGAGAGCGGGGTTTGTGAAGATTGTGGATCCGGATGTTATTGAGAGGTGTGCGTGGTGGGAGACGCTTGACTATCCGCATTATGTACCGTAAGTTTAATGGAATTGGAGTTGGTGTGCAGTAAATGGGGATGCTCAGCAGTGGGTCGGCCTTGCTAAATCGCGGAGATATGGAGCACCATGACATTTGCTGCACATCTCTTCTATGGTGATGTGCCGGTATTCTAAATTTAATCTTCCGCCCAAGGTATGAAATGGGAATTAGCATTCCAAAGTTCCAAACAAGTCTCGTTCCGTCAAAGAATCGAGTAGTTCCTGAACTTGACAACCCACATTCTGAATTTCCCTAGACGGATAAACTTTTCTGACGAGATTTGCCGTAGGAGCAAACCGTCAAGTTTGTTAAACCCACCTTCTTCCTCTGCGAAGTCCTCAATTTCTACCGGTAAGAAATAAGGCCGTCCGCAATCCGGCTTCTCTGAAACGTCGTCCAAATGTACTTTAGTATTCAAATACTCCAAATCTATGTCGTCAACTGATATAATTCCTGGTGTGTCGTAGGGGTCTTCCATCATATCGATTTTTTTTTTGGGAAGAAGGTAAGCCAGTCGAGACAAAACCAGAGATACCATTTCACCAATGCTTCTCAGTGGCCGGAAAGTCCCGATATAGCTTTCCCATTTCCCCTCGAACGCGGAGGAATCCATCGGTCGGTTGGCCAAAGGTACTTTTGATATTGGCCAGTATCACGTTGGCTTCTAGAATAGTCAAGCACGCTCCTTCAGTGATCCGCATTCCTTCTCTCTCTTCATACATTGTCTCAGGGTATTCGATTGCGCTTTGAGTCCGATGCCCGAGACCACGTCCGCGCAACGTATTCCTGTGGCCTGAAAATTGGCGTCTCCAAACGTGTTGTAGACCATAACAAGGAATGCGGTAAATGCTCTTTCCACATACCCGCCGCGTACTCCAACCCGAGTAATTTTTGCAGTTCGCTCGCTACTCCGGAAAGAGCAACAAGTTTGTCTTTGATGAACGCCAGATCACAAGTTGTGTGCTTTTTAACCACCTCTTTTCAGTACATGAATTCCATTTCAATCAATTCCCGCGGATCACAATCAGCAAGGGTCCGCTCAAGTTCGAAATCATGTGAAATCTTTGATATGCAGTGTGTCCCCAAAAAATATTAATTATATTTAATTAAATCAATTATTATGTGAAGTATATATATATATCTTTTATTTATAAAATTACTTAGAGACTCTTTGTTGCATGGCAACTGCGGGTTGGTCACGTGAGCCCACCACACTTGACCACATTCACTGTACTTAGTATTGCAATGTTTTGGAGTTGACGACTTGATTTCTCAGCTCACGCGGGCTAAGCACTCTAAATATGCATCCAGTATATAAACTACAGTGTATCAGTGTACATTCAGTTCCGACATTTGGCTCTGGCCATCCGCGCCACACTTCTCTTCCTTCCATATCTCAAATATATTACATTCAACCACATTTACTGCAATACACTTTTTTTTTTAATATCTGAATTTATCTTTATATTCTCTCTTGCCTTTATATACTCCTGTCTTCTTATAAACTTTATTTTTCTAATATTTATATCACTCACGTGTTCCTTCACGTACACCTTTCTCACGTGATTATTTCTTTTCATTACTAATTCTTTTTCTTCTTCTTTCACTTAAAATAAAGCTATATAAAAGTTTAATGAAATCTTATATTAAGTCTCATATAGTACCCTAGCCTTTAGCTCCTTTTATAAACTCACGTGACGAATTAATCAATTATAATTTAATTATTAGGTTTCTGACTTAACTTAATTTAAATTAATTGCCGTCTGATAATTATAATTAATTAAATTATTTGACACACCGTCTAAGCTCAAGCCACCGCATAACTCATATTGCTCCCGAGTAATTGGAGGGGCATTCTCTCCAGGGAACCCCACTGGTGGCCCAAAGTCATGTATCCTTAGCTATTACTTGGCCCGGAGGTTGGTGTCAGAAGCAACCCAATCACGTTAGGATTTTCGGGCAGTAGCACGTCAAGCAGGCGTGACGGAGACTCAACGCCAAGGTTGCCGAGGGGGTACCTTGTGAGACACTGCTCTCTCCAGCCTCTTGTAATCTTGAAGGTCGTTTCTGAAGCAGTGCTGTCTCCAATTCGGGGTATTTTTAGCGTTATGGAATAATCGATCTCTTTCGGTGTGGTTTCCTAGGGATTCCTCCCCATTTCCTATTCTAAGCGGTCAAGGGGAACTGCAGGGTAACCAAATTCGTGGTTGAGAAATTTGCCCAGACTGGGAAAAGCTGTCGTCAACCATTTCTGGTTATATTGAATCGATATCACGTGGATAGAGTGCTAGATGTGTCGTGTCGTGTAGACACTGCATGGCGTCGACAACCGTAGTATCAATGCGCGCCTGGTATTCATCTGTTAAAGCCCTCCGAGAAGGACCAAGCAGATTTTACACCCTAGAAAACTGGATTGGAGCAAGCTTAGATAGCTACTATGATGCGTGTGGTCATCGCGATCCGTTTTCACCAGAATTCCACAAACATGGATCGACAGACTAAACAAAAACATGGTCGACGTGGTCTTGAGGAGTTCATGATATATCAATAGTCGTTGTGCAATGAGGGCTGAGACAAGATAGCAGCCTCGAAACTGAGCATTCTGGCATCCTATGACATCACTGCCTCTCAACCAGCACCGCCCTCTCTTTAACGAGCAAAATGAGCTCACGTCTAGAGAGCTTACCAACTCCCGGGGCAGGGCAGGTCTCGCCAGTGCAGAATCTATTTTGGGAAACAACAAGTACCATCTCAAAAGAGTTGGTTCCAAAAAGAGGTGAACGGTGTGAAGGCGGCGAACACATTGATTACTACTCATAAACCAAGCAAAACCAAAGAGAACGAGAGCCTGAGAGCATGTAAATCCAGTCGAGTTGCAAAAAAGGAGGCAGCCTACAACAGACGTGTATACCATCAAATCAAACTGTCAACCCAGCTTAGATCTAGATGTAGAACGCCACAGGCGACGGGTGTGGTGTGACCTGATTCTTTCGCTGAAGTCCTTCTATGCCCTCATCTCCAGCTCAGATCTACTAGTGGATCCTGCTGAGCCAGCTGTAAGCACCTGCCCCATATATTGAACCTCAACGCGGATCAAATGTCCGCACCCTGAAAGAAACCTGCATCCTCGTCAACGGTTGTAATTGCACCTCCCATGTATGTATCCGAGTAGTCTAGACTCATTTCGAAGGGTTGCTGGCCTGAATAGTTGTCAACAAGTTGCCGAGTAGGTCCGGTGTGTGAAGAGGTTAACAAGGGTGGCATCGGATACAAGTAATCAAGGTAGTTTATCGATGTCGACGAGGTGATGTGCTCCGAGTTATCGACAGGGAACGAAGGAGCTGCAGACATTCCCGTTTGTGAGTCTGACGCTGTGTAGCATCCCTGTTGATGCAGATGATTTTCTTGAAAGCTTCTGTAAGGCGCATTCACTGTGTGTGGCGGAGTGATGGTACTGTTTGTGAAAGGCTCATTTGCAAAGGCTCCTCCGGTGAGTATTGGATCAAGAGACCGGGAGTTGTGCTGATGGCCAGAAAAGACTGGCGAGCCCTTGCTCAAGGGTTCTATATCATGTGCGGCAGTGGACGTCGGGTTCGAGGGAGTGGGTACAGTTGTAGGCGTCTTCCAGAACCGAGCGTGAGGATTCTCGATGGCGTTTCGTGGGCCAGTGTCAAGCGAGTTGCCGTTATTCCAATGTACTACTTCGCGGTCAGAGAGAAGCCATATCGACTAAATTCGCAGTCAAGACTTACGACCCTGCTGAAGTGCTCGAACCTCCTTCCTCAGTCCATCGTTTTCATTCCGCAGCGCATCGTTTTCCCAGATAAGGGCCTCTGGTCGAGAATTTTAGCCCCATAGTTGAATCGAAAGTGTTAAACCTACCAATTTCCTCCCGATGGGCTCTCCCTACATGAGTATGGAGTGTCTCAAATTTTTGATACGGTTTTGTTGAACATCGGGGAATGTAACAAGAAAAACCGCCCGCAGAGTGGGCCTTGGTACGCTTCAGATGACGGTCGAGTCCTTTCTTCCCAGTGAATGGTGACTTGCATTTTGTGCAATAGGCACGCTTGTTGATAGATGCTGAGGTCTCCAGTGTGTTCTTGGAAGTTTTCATCTTCAGTTGTGACAATCGTCGAGGATGGAAGGAATACTGGAAAACTGAATGAAACCCAATACCTACGACTCCTTTATACCGGTCACCACTGTCGGGAGCCTGCATGATGTCTTGCTCCATTTGTCCTTGGGGCCCTTGAGCCCAAGTAAGATAGCAAGCAATGGCTTTGCGAACGTCCAGTCAACTCCTAATATCTGTCCATCCATCATGAAGGTGCAGCGATGTCTGGTCGTCCTCGAGGGTATTGTAATGACCAGATGACGCTAAAACGCAGTGGAACAGAAAGATCCTCCTTGAAATAGTCTATCAGGTTTAGTCATAGACGAGTCTGCATGTCTGACAGCCCGTGGGAGACTGTTGTATTTATTCTGTTTGACGATGCCTGGTGGTGCTGTTCGGAGGCGACGTTTTCCCACATTCAAACAGCAAACCTTTGTAAAATAAAGCTTGATAAAGCAAGGGAGGCCCATCGCGTACAGGGGTATCAAAAGGGTTCCCACTCGGCCGAGGCCCTCATCACACTGGTATATCCTTGTTCTTACCTGCTATTGGCCGAAGAAAATTTGATAACGCCCGAGTGGCGGACTGAAGATCTCACTTCGCAGGTGTTTGCAAGTTCGAGGAATAGTTTGGCAATGGTGTCTTGTCGAGTCACTCGAGTGCCATGCCTTCCTCAAGATTTTCGAGGCCCCCACGGCTTGTTATTTTAAGCTAACCGCTAGGCGGCGTTAGGGCAGGTTTGTCTCTCTCATTTAAGGTCAAGCCTCGACTTCTCAGGGGGTGGCTATGTGCACAAACCCCCAAGAAATTTGCAACAACTTTATCGCAATTATTTCTCCGAGCTTCTTGGAGACAAAAAGACAACCTCAAACAATAGTCCTCTTCGATAGAGACTTGATGCCGAGCCGGCTAGTTGACACTATCTACCGGACTTCTGCCAGTTTCGCGATGCTCAAGCATAGAGCCCACCGCACCCGCAGCGAATGTTTGTTGAGCAGTCCAAGGAGACCAAATTTTGCACAAGCATCGCAAGGTGAGGTAGATGAAAGTCCTTGAAATCCAGTCTTCACTGACGATATTGTGAGTAGGAAAGACTGCCTTCGATGGAGTGCCACACTTGATACACCTACTGAAGATCTAATCCGCGAACGATCTCCGACCACAATTACTCGAGACCCGAGTCCTCAACCTCGATTCACAAGCACCTCAATTCGCAGAAACGAAGCTACTCCAATTTGGGAGAAGCAAAAGAATACCGCGGGAAGAAACTGTAATCAAGGAGGAAGTGCCTCGAATTGCTTTAGAACTTTCCATTCCTTGCGCGGTCCTCTGACGCGGTATAAAACAAGCCATCATGGGAAAAGGAGCCTATTGCACTTGCAGATTTGGCCAAGGGAATTACAGGCTACCGTCTGCCTCCTGCGCGGAATTACAACGGCCTGCTCCTTCTGGCATCACGCAGGGGGTCTCTGTCCCCTCCTGCGAACATAAATTGGGTCGAGCGATTCAAGTTGCGCCAGTCTCCATTCCACATAAATGGTCTTTAGAGCGCTAAATCGAATCTATATCAGCTTTTAACAAGGCTTCGCGACATAGAGATTGATATTTTTGGAGCTGCTTTTCTGGGAACTCGAAAACATATTTTCCATTATGGCTCAGTTGATATGAGTGTACCGATTCAGGGCAAATGTGCGGAAGCTAATTGTTTTATTTGTACTCGTTCTGCTACGCCTTGTGTCAAGTGAGTGCGCTCTCTAGTAAGGGAGACTTGCATTGGCTTCTAGGTCTTCTTGTGGTTACTGCCCTCCTTCAAATACTGGGGCAGCCTGCGCGGTTCTGGAACTTCCCCGTTGCGGTGTTTTGCTCGAGATAAAACGTCTTATCTTACAGCCTCGGAGGGCCTTTGGTAGCCCTTTTGGTGTTTTGCTCGAGCTCGAGTAATCTTCAAAGCGCATGTCGTAGCATAGGATACGGAAATAATGTGTCCTGAGCGTAAGTTGTTAAGCCTTACTGCCTTTTAACTCCCTTCTCAATTGGAAAACGTTGCTCTTATATCCAAAGTCATTGTTTGCTTTCCTCCACACCATCGCGGATCCCTGCATACTCCTCACATGGATATTTTCTTGAAGTCGCCTTTCTCCAAAGGCTGAAGGTATTCTATGGGATGGGTACACGATTGCCCCATCAACACCCTCGATATAAATTGCACAAACCTCTCTCTTATACGAAGTCCTGGAATCGCAATCAAGTTCAAGATACAGAATAATCGAGATTTCTTGAAGTTCTTCCAGTGTCCTCTCCTTGGCCTTTCAAAGGCGTTGCGCCACAACTTGGCCGTCAATCGGAATTGACCCTCCGGCGAAGATACTACAAAGAGCATCGCGTCGTTGTCCCAATTGAGATTGGTGCATCTCTATCCATGCATCTCTATCGAGGCCCGATTGAAGGTGCATCCTGACAAGCGTCGCACCAGAATCCTAGACGTCACTTCGCCATAACTTCCGACCCGCATACATCTTACACTTCTTTATCCTCTCCTCACTTAGGTCTGCTGCACACTCCTGGCCGGCTTCCACGGCAGTCGTCGAGGTGAGCGCAGGTGGCAAATTGATCGTTTGCGCAGGGGAGTTCTGTTAGGGATACGTACTGCTCATTATACCAGCATCCTTACTGCTACGGTACGATTCTGAGCCCGTTGCATCCGACCTGAGTATCCCCAATTGCAACCGTCGAGTCCTCTTCTCGGCATTATAGATTTTGGGGTCCCGCCTACTGACCCTTAGTTCGTGCAACTACCTTGACGTTCAAAAACATATCTGAGATCAAAAGTGTAAGGGGTTACATATCCGCTAATAGAATGCACGGATGTGTGGAAGACCGTGACATTTGTTGGCACATTGCATTGTGTAGTGACCACCTGGGGACACCTGCTTGGGAGCGGCATTGTCGAAATCCAGAGTTCAGGCACGCTTTCAAATTTAGAAAAAATTATACCCTTCACAATGGTAAAAACCGGCTTGTATTTGGAAACACTAGAGTTAGTAGCAATGGAATAGGAACACTGGACTTGCTAAACACGGCGAACAGCATAATTCCTGGAATTAATATACACCTAAACTTGTGATCAACACTCACTACTACCTCGACTTTCAGCTTTACTTGAGCCCCATCAGCCCCTTTCACGCGACAACCCAAATGCAGATATTCCTCCATAACATGTGACATAAGCCTAGCACATCTCCGCCACCCAGTACATCAGAGGCACAGCACACCTCTCCAGCCCTATCCAATAGGTATCCCCATCGTTCTTGTCACCGTTCAGCCCTATATTGCCTTTCCCACCTCAAATATGAAAACCATTCACGACTATCACCTGACTCTCCCCCCTTCCTATCCCGTTCAATCCAGAAAAGCAACAAGAAAACGGAGGAATCTTTGTTGCAAATCGACAAAATCGTCGCGTTCCGAGAGCGCCAATTCTAGAGGTCCAGATATACGAAGAGTGGTTCTTAAAAACGGGACCAGCCAGTGGCGGCAGCGCGGCGCGCCACACCTATTGCTTTTCATGCCAGCGGCGAGAGGCCGCCAACCAGATAGAGGTTTTGCCGATAGTGGGAAATGCCCTCTGAGATGGACGAATGGTGGTGACGGATGTGAGGGTTCGGGTTACCTAACATAAACTGAGTTTGCTGTGTTTTTGCGAGTGAGTTTGGCGATGAAAGTCGAAAATGGGGGAATGGAGAGGATGGGCGAATCACAGGCCACTGCATACGGCGCAGGTATCGTGATTAGTTATCAGGTTCGGGTACGTGGAAGGGTTGCGCGTGGTTGTTGGTATTGTGGGATCCGAGGGAGAGAGTGTGAATGGTTGGAATTTACGATCACGGGATGCGGTACGAGGCCTGAAGTTTGAAGGGAGATAAGCTGAGGTTACTTTTTGTGAAGTGTATGAGGCCGGAAGGGCGGGTGGTGGGACGAAGCGAAACGCGGAGGCGATGTTGGGCAACCGGGTTCTTGGGTTCTCAGGATGGGCTGAGAAAAAGGAATGAAAGCCTGACGATTGTGAGCGTGAGATATCACTGGACAGTGGAAGCACTGGGAGAGCATTGGAGTGAGGATGCGGAGCAAGCCGATTACTGAGAACTTGAGCCTTTGTACTGTAAGCGTCCGAATTCGAGGTGTGTGAACCATAAGTAGTATGCAGGTGTTCGTGAGAGCCGAGGGGAAGTTTCTTTCGAGGGAAGTGGGTCGAGAGCTCATCAGCTGACTGATAACTGGACAGACGTGCAACAAAAAGATGACCTTCAATTGAGTTGCATACCTACCAAGGGTATTAAGATTGGTCACCTGACGGAAATCTATGAGCATGATGAATATGGGAGGTTTTGAGCCAGCGTTGAGTAAGAAGTTATAGCAGTAATACTTAATCAAGTCTTGCTGCTCTGAAGCCAACAAGTAAAACTCCTTTGATGCAAAAGCGAATGGAAGTGTTTGAGATCAGAGTCATGTGATAAGGTGGCCTTCAAAGGTGGGTTTACCTAATCACCCCCCACCAACCCTTTCCCAAAAGATGATCGTCCCGAACGCCAGTCCATTTTGAATACATGCGCTCCTGCAACAACGTTTTCCCAGGCGCTCAGCCTTATCAATGCGAGAATATGACTGCGTGCTTTCCGTTGAGCGGGTTCTCCTGCCTGGATGAAGCCGTGCAATTGCCAATTGGTTCGAAGCCCATGGCTTGCTTGCATAGGATTGAAACATCGCCAGCCTCGTTACTTCTCGGGTTTCTCAGCCGCACCAACTCAGGACGAGACCTATCTTTCGCGAAGATAAGACGGAAGGCCTTCCTCAAAGCCTCGGGCTCCGTTCCACGCCATTTGCTTTGATTCATCACTTCGATAGAGGCGGTCGAATCGCTCACGATGTCAAGCTGTCCTGCCCTGGATTGTGCAAATGCATTGCAGGTTCCTCCTCCACTTCAACCAAACCCGGACATCTCTGGCATAGGTGTAAGAACTCAATGTGGCTTATTTCTGTGGCGTACTCACCCGTGCAGGTCCTCGTTGGATTCTTTGCTACTGCGTATCTGGCCTGGATTCTGCTCGTTATACATTATGTATAGGTCTTCGATCCCGCTGAGGCTAGTCTTGCCAAGGAGAAGCGCCCAACGAACCCCATCGATAAGATGCTTGTGGAGTTCATCACGAGAATTACCAAGCGTCCAGAAAAGACCAAAAAGATATGGAGCAATGCTCTGGAAAAGGTACGATTCTAACAAACCGAATGAGTCATGAACTGACTCCGATTAGATGATCCTTATGATGAGTGATCAACAAATGATCACTGGCATTGCACTAATGGTCAGCGCAATAACACAATTGCGTTGCGGCATATCGGCATACCACTGGCAAATCACCATTTACTTGGTGTGGTTTTCTTCCTTCACACACTTGGCCACGTTGACATTCCTCCGGGGATATCTACATGAAAATTCGCCACTGCGATGGTGGAGGCTTTTCTTCATGACAGCCTTGATTGGACTGCTAACAGCGGCTCTGGTACCTACAAGGCGCGGAGACTGGCTCCCTGACGACCAAACCGCCATGAGTGGTACGCCAGCACTATGCATGTTCAATTATCCACGAAGTCCCCCTGAATCTGCGTCATTGATAACTATGCTTTTCTCAATCCTGGTGCTAAGTATAAGCTACACTACTCGAGCAATCAAGCTCTTCAAATGGAGCTCTGAAGCCAGCAGAAGGATTTTTCGCACGATTCCTGGAAATGCATTCAAAAAGCATCTTGAAGTCCTCTACACTGGTAGCCAGAAAACCAAAGCCAACAAATGGATATTCTATATTCCGTATTATGTCATTTTGGCAGTCTTTCTTGTCATAAGGTCATGGATGGATTTCCTGGAGAGCATGTTCTGGGAAGTACGCTAATCGCTCACTCGTACCCGTACGTTGGCCTTGACGGTAACAGTTTACTACAGATAACCTGGCTCCTGATTGCCTTACTCTGGGGTACTCTTCGGCTACTTTCTACTAGGAACTCCACTATAGATCAGGACAACGATATTCTTGTGGAGAATTCTTGGGGTTTCGGCCAATGCCTTTCTACCGCAATGGTTCTTCTTTTGCTTTTCTCGGGCATCGAGACATACCTTGGTGAGATCCTGGTGATTGACAAGTTCATGAAAGTTACTGACTGATGAACAGAAACCAAACGGCTTATTGCACAGAGTTTATTGACTCCCCCGCAAAATGTGGACAATTCATCGACCGGCAATGTCGACGATGCTGAGAACAGAGCGGTTTTGCCCCCTTCAAATGGGGACAGAAACACTTCCGCATCCCCTGAGACATCGCCAATCGAACGTGCTTCCGCAGAAACTGCAGATATTACTGATCATGGAATCGTTGCGACCGAGACGGACGACCAGTTGCAAAGAATTACACGATCAGCGACCGTCCTAAGCTGGGAAGAAAGATCAATGGAAACCTCGTCCCGCCGACACAATCCAGTCCAGATTGTCGGTTCCCTTTTCGAGCTTGAAAGATCCCCTAATACTGCATCCACACACCCCGAAACGCGTATTGAGCCGCAACTCGCTCCACACATGCGAGATTACTATGATGACAAGTGGTATAGAGGTCTGGTTTATCATAATTTCCTCATAATTACCGTACTTTCGGGCGGAATCTTAAGTGGTGCAAGTGGCAAGACCGCCGGTTTTGACGGCCTCTTCGGCAATGCACGACACGTGGGTGCAATGATGTTGCATTTATTCAATTGGGTACTGGTATATGCTCCCCTGTCATCGTGTTTCATTACCTTGCCTTATGTTCTGTTCCGCGATACACACAGGATACGCTTGAAACGGATCCACACGTTTGCTTCTCGCGTTTACTGGTACCAGATAACTGCGTTGGCCTTTGCTTTTTGTCTGTTGTTCGCTGTACCTAGTGTATCCTGGAAGGCTCTTCTACCAAAGAATGGGGATGCTTTGTTTGCCTTTTGGTTTTATTTTAGCATTTTTTTCGGATATCGTTGTTGGTATAAGGTAATATACGAAAAGTTGAAGAGAGAGGCGAGGACTTGAGTGGGCAATGCGAAGAATGGCTCTGAGCTTGAGGAGTAGATCCTGCCCTTATTCCAAGGTTAATTGGATGGGCTCCAAGAAAAGCTGCCCTAGAGTTGGAACCGATCAAGTTGTAATCGAGCTTGGAGACACTGATGATTGAGCCTACGTGCAAGCCGAAGGGCAAGGAGGTCTGGGAATTGAGGAGAGTTGGGGTTGAAAGTAGCTAGATGTTTGAGAGGAGGTTCTACCACCCCTAACAATTTCTTTGCCAGTCCACTTCCATTGCCGTTACTCAAAAGCCATGTTTTCTATCACCGGACTCGGCGGGATATCTATTGCTCACTGCTTGAAGATGTTCATTAAAACCCCGAAACTTTTGATGCTCTAAATGCAAGTAGTTCAACGTTCTTCAACACAAAGGTGGAAAATATGAGATACCCAAGCCATGTGATATCTCCAATCTAGTTTATCTCGCATCCCCAGATCCCCGTTCCAGGAACCTAACCGTCCCAGTCTTCGCATCCATAATACACCCAAAATGCGTACACTCGTTCATAACCGGATACGCTCGGACCCATTCCCTCAACCTATCCTCCCTCACCATCGGCGGCTTCAATTCGAAAGCCTCCTCTCTCTCCAACGCTTCATTCAGTCTCTTCTCATATCTCCTTCTCACACCATCCCATTTCTTCTGCACACAAGCTCTCCTCTCCTCGCTCTCTTCAACCAGAGCTTCTATACCTAAAACTATACTCTTCTTGTTCTGGGCATGTTCGGCAGGGTCGTCGGATCGGGTATCGTGGTTCGTGTGCACGATGAATTCCTTCGAGTTGCGGATCTTGGCTCCGATGAGGTCTTTCTCTATAACGGTAGTCGCCTCCCCGTCACATAAGACGAGATAGCAAGGCGCCGTCTTCGACTGTGCTATGGCGACCGTCAAGCCCATGGTTGGCAGGGGCGGTGGTCCAGCTGGGTCGGGAAAAATAGTATTCCGGAGGTGAGACGCGATTGCCGGACGGAAGCCGAAGATAACGAGTAGTTGATGCAGCCTTAGCTTGAAATTCGAGCAGCGATGGTTTGGGCGGAAGTTCAAGGATATCGACAGCCCTTCTCTGCTTCCTGTTAGCACGTGATATTCAAGAAGTACAGTTGACTCACCTCACGCCCGTCAGAACGCCCACAAAGCCGGCATAAGTAATTGTCCTCGCAATCACTTTCTCAGGTTCGTCGCTCTCCGACCGTATGAACTCGAGTTGAACCAGCACATTCCTCAAAGGATCCATCCCCCAGTCCAACGTCCGGAAATGCAGCATTCTCTCTTCTTCCCGCCCCGGAGCTCTCCTCCCTCCCCTCTTATCAAGAGAAGCGATGACCGCACCACTCGTACACCCCAATAAACTATCCAGCAAAACATTCAACGCAATAATAATATACAACGCAACTCCGCTTGCTTTGGCAATACCTTTCAACTCTTTCGTTTCTTCGGGAGAATAGACACGTCTCAAGAGGATGGAGGCGAGAAACTCGATCCAGCGGCGGAGTTGCGGCCAGGGGATCATGGTTGAGAGGACTTCGTCGAAGAGAGGTGTTATTTCTCGCATTTTTGGGACCGAAATCGATTGCGACTTGGAGGTAGCGTTGTTCTGGAGGGAGGGAGAGGTCGATGCGGTAGGTTGGGATGGGCTCGGGCCGGACTGGAGCTCTGGGTGCCATGGCGAGGAGATGGTCACTTGGCTTGGAGTGAGAGCGAAGAATGCTGAAACGCGAAATAGACAAGAGGAGGTTGAGATGCTAAAAAAAAAAAAAGTATTTGTACTTGATGAGGTCAAAGTAGGGATGCTCAGCCTTGTGAGATGTGACGCGATCTTCAAGGGAACAACAGGGGCATGCAGAAGTGTGATTGGAGCAAGAACATTATAAAGAAATGTGAGTCACTTATCCAAACATTCAAATATTTAGGGAGAGATGGGTATCTTGGACCTCGACCCAAAATTCATGAAAAGATTTAGGAGTGATTCAAGTTTCAACTTTCATGGCCGGAATTCACCAGGTACTTTTCCGGCTTTGCAGTATTGCATTTTTAGCCAGACGAGCTACACCTCTTTCCAAACCCCAGGTAACCCAAAGCAGTTAGGTGCATCTATCTCATGCGGCCGGAATCGAATCTGTGTCTTTTTTGTACTGTGAAGGCAAGGTTGCACTGCAATTTTAGCGCAGGGAGTGAAGGCCAATGAAAAGCTCGTGCTGTTGACTTTCTGGTCTGTGCCAGCCCTGGACCCCCCTGTCTCGCTACAATTAATGGCCCTGATACGTTGTACTTGTAGTCTTGACACATGACCGAGAAAGTATGCGGATTGTGTTTTCACTGCAATTTTAGCGCAGACGACGAGGATCGGGTTGACACGTGACCAGCCTCCTTAGAAGGTCCGTGCGCGGTGCCTTTTTTTAAGTCGTGGATGCACTGCAATTTTAGCGCAAACGGGGAGGATTAGCCTCTTTTTAAGGTCCGTGCATGAGGGCCCCGAACCGTGGAGAAAGTGAAGTCTCCTTCTGATCTGCGCGAGAAGAAATGCCTCTCAAACCGCCAACATCAAACCTTCAGCAGCACGATACCCAACCCCAGAGGATTACTAACAGATGCCTCGATCCTGGACCGAATTACTCGCGTTAATGGTGTTATCTCTCGTCCTTGGGACTTGAGTCTGGACCCCTCAGGTATCGCAAGTGTGACGATGCATTTCGATATCATTGAAATGGATAAGTCCAATTCTGCACTTCTCTCTGTCCCAAGCTCGCTCTCTCTTCCGTTCCTATACTGTTTCTCTTCTGGTGAGGAAATATGAACTCGTCAAAACTCTCACCCATAGAAGTGCTCGCTGAACCATTGGCCTTGCCCTATGGCCTCGTACTACCCAATCGGTATGCTATTCTCTCTTCGTGACACCTGAGTTGAGTTACTAACGTATAATAGTCTTGTTAAATGCCCAATGAAAGAGACTCTCGCCAGAGCTCCCTTGGACCCTCCCATCGACAAGTTTAACAATCTATATGGATAATGGGTGCGGGTAAGTTACGGACTGATCACTACGGAACAAGTTTGGATTGATATATGATGTGCGTTCTTCCTTGCACCATCAAGATGAATTAATGGGTGACCGTGCATATCTCAGTTCTCTCCGTAGCCGGCGACGTGGTCTGCCACTTCGATACTCTCTCTTCCCCACACTTCGAAACCTGAAAAGAATGGGCACAAACCGCACAATCAGGAGGAACGCCATGCATTGTACAGCTTGCACACCCAAAACACATATCCCCGGCTGGCGCAGGAAACCGACCAGCGGATATCCCCGCCTTGTAGCCCTCCTCGGTCCCAGTCACCCTCGGCGGTAAATCATCCGACAAGCCTGCCGTCCAATCTCTTCTCGGAACACCCAAAGCTATGACGATTCCTGAAATCGGCAAGCGGTAGAGAGTTGGAAGCATGGGGCGTGAGTCGCGAAAGGACCAGGAGGATTCAAAGGCATACAATTACACGGTGCCCACGGCTTCCTCAGCCAATTCCTAAGCCACATACAAGTCGCAGGACCGATTGATATGGAGGTAGTCCCGAGGGACGAATGAAGCTCCACAGACATTTATTTACTGAGAGTGGCGAGGAAAATCCCGCGTCATTCTGCTTGAGCGTGAAGCTCAACTCGGGCGATTACGTGGAAGCCGGAGGTCTCTCTCAAGAGGAAGCACTGGAATAAGTCCGCTGGCTAGTCGCCTGTGGCCTGGTAGATTCCATCGAGATCTCCAGTAGGAATGTGGAGTGGGAGAGCTCGGGGCTGCGTAATTCTTTCGGTGTGCAATCATTGAGCAAGGCTGCGAAAATTAAAGAGTCGATGAGGATCCTGGAAGCATATTTCACCGAGTGAGCGGATATACGTTGTCATTTCTTTTGATATATACTAGATTCTAGAATCCTTCCGGTCCTGTCCTGGTGTTTTGCAATATTCATTGAAACTGAAGTTCAATTCAACATTTAATAGTTCACGAGGGCACAATGAGGAAACCAAGTGGTTCTTGGCAGACAATCCACTCTTCGGGAGCACCTACCGACAATACCATCCCACTTCACGTGCAGTGGCTCCTCTTGAGTCTTTCGGAGGCTTTTCCCGCTCTCCGCTTCAGGGATGTTGCTATATCAGTTGAACCTTATCGCGTCCACCCTGCACATTTAGTCTTCGAGTTCGCGTTTTATATTGCAATATATCCCCAGAGTGTTGGAAACGCTCTTCAACTATCTTGACAAGTTACCATCTTCCTCAGCCATCTGCGGTCATTCTCAAAAAAGGTTTGACAATGGCTACCAACGGATCAGCCCCAAAGCGCCAGCTGCACTTGAACTTCTTTGAGACAGCTTGCAACAGCTCCCATATGTGCACCGGACAATGGAAGTAGGTATCAAACCCTCCTTTTCCATCCTTCGATGATGGCTAAGATTTCCTCAGGGATCCCGCAGATAATACGAAGAGCAAGGACACACTTGGCTGCTATTTATGGCTGGCAAAGCTCGCGGATAAGGGCAAAATCACATCCATTTTCTTCGCAGACGGCTACGGTCTCCATCAGACCTACCAAGGAAAACCAGATGCAACTTACGCCGGAGGCTCGATGGTCGCATATATGGATCCGGTTGTTATGGTCTCTGCTATGGCAGCTGTGACGAAGTCTGTGGCGTTTGGTATCACGGGGAGCACGAGCTACATTCGTAAGCTTGACCTCGGACCTGCTTTCCAAATACCAGTTGTTGATCTTAGATGCAGCTCCATACATGCTAGCTCGAACATGGTCAACCTTAGACCACATGACCAAAGGCCGAGTCGCCTGGAACGTACGTTTGTCTCCTCCCTCATCTCTCCCCTCTTCAGCACCTACTCACATCCCTTTCTTCCATAGGTCGTAACCAGCTACAGCAACTCAGCCGCCAAGGCTTTTGGAAAAGACAAAGTCAAGCCCAGTGCGGAACGCTACGAAGCCGCAACCGAATACATGGACGTGTGCTACCAACTGTGGGAAAAATCCTGGGAAGACGGGGCGCCCACCTGGCAAGTGGAGCCCGAGATGGCGTACGACCCAAGCAAGATCCACCGCATCGACTACAAAGGACAACACCACCAGCTCTTTGCATATGGTTCGACGCATCCATCACCACAACGCACACCAGTCATCTCCCAAGCCGGGGCTTCGAAATCTGGCATCGATTTTGCTGGCAAGCACGCAGAAGCTATTTATACAGACTACAGCACAGTTTTTATGCTAAAGGAATACGTCGAGCAAGTCCGAGCAGCAGCCGTTCGCCACGGCCGCGCACCTACGGATGTCAAGATCTTCGCAGCCATGTGTCCCATTCTCGGTCGCACTCTCAAAGAAGCGCAAGCCAAGCATGACAAAGCTTTCTCCCTGATCTCCATCCAGTCTGGCATGGCGAAATTTGGTGGCTACACGAACATTGATCTGAGCAAGTATCCGCTCAAGGAAGCGATCAACATCGAGGCTGAGGAAGCCGATAACCTCATTACAGGTGTGCTGAGAGATTTCAATGAGCGGGCGAAGAGGGCGAAGGAGCCGTTTACGCCGGAGAGTATTGGGCGGGCGGGAGGCTTTAACACTACGCCTAAGCCGGTGGGAACTGCGGAGATGGTGGCGGATGAGTTGCAGAGTTGGTTTGAAGAGACGGGAATTGATGGGTTTAATCTTGTTTGTCGGTTCTCCTTTCTTTCTTTCTTTCTTTCTTTCTTTCTTTCTTTCTTTCTTTCTTTCTTTCCTCCTAGCTCGCTTTCCTCCCCTATTCTCCTCGCGAAACTTAGCGCATAAAGCTAACTTATCTTGTTATTGCAGACGTATCGAACCCGATGTCCTACGAAGACATCGTGGAGCTGCTGGTCCCTGAACTGCAGAAGCGAGGCTTGATGTGGCAGAACTATCACGTCCCGGGTGGAACCTTCAGAGAGAATCTTCATAATATTCCTGGAGAGCCGGGTCTGAGTCCAAGACATCCTGGGTCGAAGTTTAAGTGGAGTGCTCCAGCGGATGAGAAGAGCGAGATGAATGGAAATGGAAATGGGGAAGTGAAGACGAATGGGCATACGGTGCCGATTGTGGTTGGGGCGTGAGCCACTTTGGTTGTGATCTTAGACCTTCTTGAAGCCTATCCAATGCCAACATCACTATCGAGGGCCAGCCAGCCGGATTCCAAATACAACGCATAGTTACATACAACAACTCACAGCCCGTTCTAGAATATTGAAATCAAATTAAGTTCTTCAATCCGCTGTGGACATAGGCGTGAGCCAAGTTTCCCGAAACGTCATGCCAGAACAAAAACCTGGTTTCGCTCCCTTTCCCCGCGTTCCCGTCACACACTCTCGGCACAGAAGCCATGCAATGCGCCACACTAATATAAAGTGGCTGAATAGGAGTGACTTTGCTGGAGGATCGGCACGCCGTATGAGATCAATGTTATGTTGGAGTCTGCTGTTGCCTCTATGCCCGGTAAATTTAGTATCATGACCTCACGCGTGACAAACGCCGAAGTACATAAGTATAAACCAAGTATATCAAGACAACCTCCCTCGTCCCAACCGTGAAAAAGGTCTCTAAAGAAGAAGAAAACATAACAATAAAACTGAATCGAATCAAATCTACACCGCAATCATGTCTTCAAGAAACGCCGCTCCCACCGACCTCAAAGACCCCGAAGTTACACAACAGAATCTGCCTAAGGGCGAAACATGGGATGGAAATGAGTGCGCGCCCCTCTCTTTTCTTCCTAAACCCGCTCCGCCTCCGCATATAGGAGTAAGTACGATAAGTAGAAGGCTGATCATCATAGGCCAGAGCGTACAGAAGGGAAAGATCAAATCCAAAGTTCGGCGTGGGAGGGACTGCGTAAGTACTCCTTTCTAGTTGATTGCCGTATTTCGTCAGTGAAAAGAAATTGATAATACTATATAGGAGAGATGGCGGCATGAGCACTGCGGATACGGTGGCGGATGGAGGGCAGGATGTGAGTAGTGTTCCCCGGTTCGAGGGTGGAATTGAGTGTATGATGAATGGTGGACTGACGACTTAAAGGCCCCGGAGCAAGATGAAGAGTACAAGCCTTCTTAATTAAGATTTTGGAAGAGCCCGTTGATGAGGAGTGAGAAAAGGGGGAACTACCATAATGTACGGATGGTAGGCTTCCTGACGAGACTTCTCGATAGCAACCCCAATTCCAAAATATCTCTTACATCCGAGCTTGCGGCCTTGACAGAGAACTCTTTCCTCCAATAGATTCCATCTCAGGACTCATTCACCAAACCCTTCACAATCAAGGTCTTGTAATTATTAATAGATAAAAGGAATATAATATCCAGCCTAGTGTGGTACGGCAAGCCGTACTCCATGAAAATCGCTTTGTTTTGGTAGTTTTGAGGTTTTGGTCACATGTCAAAGGCTGGGGCCTTTCGCACGTGACTTGCGCGGAAATCACATAAGAAAGCTGGCTTTTCTGTAGTTCTAGACAACAATCCCTCTTTCATATCCAATCAATTGAGCTTTTAAATAGCACACTGTTTATGCTTTACTGCTTATGTCTTTGTTCCTGCTGTTTTGCTGTCAAGTCACGTTTTGCGCTCTGGTGTACTTTATGTGGGTTTTGTCTTGTCGCAGTTTCCCTCCCACACTAGCTACTCCTAGTGAGATAGTCTCTACTTCTTAAGACAGAATATGGAATAGGGAAGATGCCGAATTTCCCATGCACCGTAGCCCGACGAACTAATAAGCCGTTTCTTTAGTGAGAACTTGATTCAAGGCTCTTATTTGCCTTGCTAAAGTAAGGGATGTGGCTGAATTAGATTAATGAGCCCTAAAGGAAAAGACAACTACGCGTGAAGAGTGCTCATCTGGAATTGAAGTATATTTCTAAACAGTGGAATAGTTGAAGTGAAGGTCCATGCAATGGAAGTGAATATAAGGCGCTATTCCGTTTTTAGCGAGCTAGGCACCCCCTATTCCGGGAAAATGTAAAACGACCCCCCCTCCCCCCCCCCCCCGGGTGTCGATTGGGGGCTAGGCTAACCTAAAGTAGTGGCGCTCGGACAGGAACACCAAAACTCTGGCTTTTTCTTTAATTTAATTCAACTTTATAAGGAATTAATACAATTTAATACTTATTTTATTCGCTTATTGCACTAATTAAGAGCTATCTAAATATAAACTTTTTAAAAAGTTTGGATTAGTAATAAATCTTTAAATTAAAAAAGGTAAAAATTCCGTATTTTATAGTTTAAAGATAAGCTTAAGAAAGCCTAGAAATTTAGCAAATAAGTCCCTAATTTATAGGGCCTTATAGGGTTCAAAAACTAGAACCTAATTAATTAGTATATAAACTCCCTTAAATTAAAATTCTATTTTAGGGAATTTTTTAATTATAAGTTTGGAAGCACGTGATTATAATACTAGGGTTATAATATACTAGCTTATGCTTATATTAAAAAATATAACTTAAGATTTTTGAAGAACTTAGGTAGCCAATTACAAGTTTATTAACACCCCTGCCCTAATCTACGCCCTTAATCGACACCTGAGGGGGGTCGTTTTACATTTTCCCATTCTTCGGAGCCAATTCTAGATCCCCGTCAGCCAGAGCCGCACCTCACAACTTATTAAGCGAACTTCAACCTCATCGTATAAGAACACATCGCGTCAGTCTGTTAATCACCCATTCAACTCCTCTCTGCCACAAGGAGTCGTACTCAAATACGCACGATACTGCTCTATAATGACCGTCGGTAGTTCTGTATGGTTTCGACTGGACAAGGGTTCCAATACATGATGACCTCACTAAGCGTCTAGGAGACTTGACGAAGCACTTTAAGCGGAAGTATCTAGCTAATATCAACGAAAGAGATTGGATCGGGTGTAAGGTCTGTCGGATATCTCTATAGCATAAGCCGCATCTGCAGAATCACGCAGAGAGCATCCACTGGACGGTTTCTTGACCCCTTGATGCTCTACGAAAAGTGTACGGCTACCTAGCCGACTTTGTTTTTGTCTTTTATTTTTGTGCTATCATGTATTACATAGGCATTTCCTTTCCACTATCTTCTAGAATATATAGATCAAGGGGGATTCAATTGCAAGAAAGAGGGCAAGCCTTAGGAGTGGATTTTTGGCAAGTTCCCTAGCAGGACTCGACCCGCAATACATACGCGCTGGAACATGGTCCGACCCCGAGGCGAATAGGCTTCCTCCCATAGGTAGACGGGCAGCAGCTCAAGCTCTGTGCCTACTTGTCCCTTGGCATCTGCCGGGACGAACGTCTGAAAGGAATCTTGTCCTTCTGTCGGCCAGTCCCGACGCCGGAGCAGGTACAGTCAAGGGAAGCGGCGTTCAAGGCGTGGAGGTTTATGGGGGGGAATCAAATGCATGGGTGAAACACCACTTCCCGATTTGTCCAGAGTTGACAGCGCCTTCCTCCTCGAGCTCGCCGAATATCTGATCGCAAATAAACTATCAAAGCTTCTCGGACTTCGGGTCATTGACCTAAATCCACACGCATGTTAGAGCTCATTCCCCCTCAAGGAACTGTCATGCTGGATATCTCGGTTCTAAATGGTTGTGTCCCCGCTAGGCAGACTGGCTGGAAGTTCGAAAGTGAGGATGGCGAGCCACGCGTGTCAGGCAAATGAGTCGCACGGCCAGACTGCCACAACGCATGAGATTTACAACAAAGGCGACCCTCATCCAAGGCTTTTCAAGATCTGAAGCATGTACTTGTGGAATTCTCTGTTTGTAGCTCAGAACTGGCACTGTGTTGACACTAAGCTCTGAGGATAAGTGGCCTGAATTCCCTGCTATTTTCTATATAGATTCTAGCAATTCGTCTTTCCAGGGAAGTCTTGCTCATACGGGTTCGGATAGACAGCGTTCCTCACTTGACAGATATCAAGAATCTTCCGAGCCTCGTGTAACATGATCCCTATCCTTCAGATTATCTCTGATTAGCCCCAACAATTCTTTGCAATTTGGAGGATGGTGCGTCTTGATGAAATCAACAAGGGAGATTCGTGACTTTCCATATCGTAGTCGGACGAACTCTGGTTCATAATAAAAGAAAAAATCATTGGGGGATATGCTATAGAGCACTTCTCCGTCAGCTCCTGTCAGCACCCCCTTCTCCCATTCTCCGGCCTCAGCCAGCCATACTTGAGGGTCAGCTCCAAGCTTGAGCATGATCTCTATGCCCTTCCAATTGAAATGCTTCTCATAATCGTTATAGCCTGGATATTGACGCCATGCATGACTCGTTGCTTGGAAGAATACTTCTCTGGCCAAGAATTGGTACCATATCCATGCAGGGCAGCCAACGTTGTACTGCTTGCTCGTCCCGTCTGTTGAAAGACCCGCCGTCTCGAATGTCAGGCCGATGTCAACCAGTTTGCTTGCCAAGAACTCAGCGGAGCGAGATCGAACGTATGATTTCTTCGCTCCGACGGTAAAGAGGAGGTCGGTCAAGATTGTGTGAATCCGACTTTTGTCCTTTGGCAGGTTGAGATAGTTGTTAAGCGCCCAGTCGAGGTATTCGTGGATACCCAATATCTGGCACTGGCGGAAGACATCCACGATTCGCCCAGTCGGGTGAAGATTCGTCTGGAAGTGGTGCAGGATCTCGGTTGTCCACTGGGGGTCCAACTGTGCCAGTCCCAGCTCGACATCGATTCGGCGAAGGAGGTGGAAGATTTTCTCGTGACCGATGAGGTCACACTCTCTAAGGCGGTGGAGCAAGTAAGGAGTTGTGATGATCCTGCGTTCAGGTGGGCTGCTCGAATCTGCCAGGACAAGCCAGGTGAGCATCTCCGCAACTCGGCCGTCACTGAGCCCCACCTCTGCCGCGTGTTTTGAGAGGTAGTGTTGTAGCGACTCCGGTATAGCTCGATGGGTGAAGCGAATGAGGCCGTTGTCGTCAACCTCGACGAGGCCTCTGCATCGAATCGATAGTCTGTTTTCCCGTACGGCTCGAGATCTCCGCAGTCGATGAGGGGCGTTTGTGAGGACGTCGGAGTCAAAGGCCAAGTGTTTGTTCTTGTCCGCTAGATCGAACACAAGCTCAGAGTGTTCTAGGGTTAGGAATTGTTCCTTACTCACAGGCAGAAGGATATCTTCTAAGATCCTCAGTTCGACTTTGGTCTTGGAAGCTGATATCAGAAGTCCGGACATCCTCATGGCTCCTGCGAGAAGATAGTACGAGCCCGTTCGATGATGAGCTGGGACTGACTCGACAATCGTCTTGAAGAAGCTATCCAGGTCCTTGTCGGACGACTCTCTGACAATCCTCTCCATCACATCCATCACATCCACGGAATCACCTTCCGCGAGGGCGATCTCGATCTGGTTTAGGATCATTCCTACCCACAGAAAGATGCCATTTGCCTCAGCGAAAACCTTGTCTCTGAGAGCAATACATCGTTCTCTCATCTCCTTTGACCCTTGCATCATTCTTGTAAAGTACGGGTTGTTGACCAATTTGTTGATGACAAGAGTCTCGATATCATCTTTCGTGAGATTCTGGAGCATAATTCTTTGAGATGTCGGAAAGACATTCAGGAACTCTGGCAGAGGGCGACTCGAAACGCACATCTTCACGTCCCCTTTTGAATCATTCGCCCATTTCTGTAGGTCGCACGCGAGGCGGTAGTGAGTTTGGTTCCTCTGCTCAAACTCGTCGAGGCCATCGATGAAGAAGCAGATACAATACTCTCCAAGTATCCCACGGTCGGTTAAAAGTATCTCGAACGCTTTGTTTATCTCTCGGTCTCCAAGCTCTAGGTGTGATATGTCTTGAACCATGTCTCTCCGTTGTTCCCACTGCCTAGGGAATAAACGTGGAGCCAGAGTTGGGACCTGTTGCAAGACACTGTGCAACAGACTGTGGATGAGGCCTTTCCAGGTCTTCTGTTGCTCGACCGACGTGACCCTATAGAAGAAGAATTTACAGAAAATTGGAGTCTTGCTGCGTGAGGCTGCCCATCCATGCAATAGCATTTCAGCCTCACGGTCCTCATCGCCATCGCAGAGATACTTCATCAAAGTGGATTTACCCGACCCTGCTTTCCCTGCGATGTGAAAGATGCCCGAGCCTCTCTCAAGCCATTCAGTGAAGGTCAAGTCGAGATCACGCTGCATTTCGCGGAGTTTGTCCGGATTTTTATAAATCCAGCCAAAGGTGTTCGGCTCTGCGTTGCCGATGGTTCGAAATCGGGTATCGATACCAGGGAACCAGAGCGCTTCGAGGATCAGCTTTCTTCGGATCACATCTTGAGCTTCCTGGAATGCGGCTTTTAAGGACTCAATCTTCTGTCCCAAATCGCCTCCAGCATTTTTGATACTATCGTCGAGTTCCTCCAGGTTTCTTTCCAGGTTTCTTTTGATGGAATAAACCTCGTGGCTCATCTGCGTTTTAAGGTCTTCGAGCCTATCGACCATGTCTATAACTCTCTCGCTGTCGATACGTAAGTCAGAAACTTGTGGCCTTTCTAGATGACCATGGCCATGCTTACCTAATGGTGGCTAGTAGAAGAGTCTCTAATTTCGTTCGGTAGCCTTCCAATTCCTTCTGGAACTTCGTGATATCAGAGCTCTTCAGCATTGTGCGGAGAGTAGCAGAAATTGCGGATCGCAATGAGCCTTTTTGGGCCTTGCACTCCCTAAGCACCTCACGAAGATTGACACATGTTGTCTTCATTTTGCCAATCACCGTTGCCACCTCTAAATCTGTCTTGGACATTTGATGCTTGGCCATTATCTGTGCCGAATTGAGCTCTTTGACGACAATTTCCATCTTGTCAGCAGTCTCCTCTAGCTCTTTGTGTTCGTCTGTCGCTCCCAAGTCATGGAGTTTCTTGACGATCTTGCCGCACTGGATGGCCCTATCGCATAGAGCCAGGAGGCCGTTCGTGATACTGATGGCAGTGAAGGGGTCCACCATGATGTACCGCAAGCTAGTATCACAAAAAGCATTCGCAGGACTTGAATCTAGAGTTTCTGCGCGAGTGAAGACTGCTCTCTCGAAATTCTAGATGATGATAATTGCCTTTGGCGTCTGGGCACGTTCTCGGCTCGACTGACGTGTCAATCCCGCACCCTCCATTATTGTCCCTCTCTCCTCCACACCACTAGCAAATCGGCTGCTGGCTGACGTGATTGTTGGCTGACTTCAGGGTCCTTATAGACACTAAAATTGCAGTGCTTCCGGGGAGAGATGGTTACGCTTCTCTGCCTAAGGTAGCGTCTATTCGGGGGGTGTTGTGTCGTCACATGACCTTTTAGCGTCTTAGCGCGGCACCCTGTATCTTAGTCTCGAGCTCCCCGCTCCTTCTTCTCTCTTTAGACGTAATACACCACACACCCGAATACAGCTGTTTTCCGCGAGAACACCAGCTCTAGGATCGTGATAGGGGGAAGCCATCGCGCGATGCCAGACATTCGTAAAGAATGTGTCTTATTTTACAGTCACGTGCGGTTTCAGATTCTGCTGCCACGTGCTACCCTATCAAAAGTTCACCCTCTCTAAATTCTTATGAGAATCATTACTAAGTTTACTATTCTTGGACAACAAGGAAGTGGACATTCAAGTTGATGTACTTACTGGCAAAGATTGGAATCCAGAAGCGTTAGGAAATGATGCCTCGGTGGAACCTTCCACGCGGCAAGAGGCAACGAGTGAGACAAGGAATCTGTCACATCATTTATGGTTACTGACAGGGACCTAGTGGTGCACCCCAGATCATCTTTGGTCTCACAAATGCAGCCACCTTCTTCCTTCCCGACATTTTTTGGGCAAGTCATCGCAGCTGCATCACTCGCAGTCTTTCAACCACAACCATCCTATCCCGCAGGAAGACACCAAATGAGCCACCAAGCAGATGGTGTATCAAGTTCGTATCCTGGTGATCCAAACATAATGACTCCGAGCCAGGTTTCACCAACCCCTCTAAGGACCTACCAATCTTCCTCACCTCTGGCCGGTTTGCCAAAGAGTCTATCGAGACTGAACTTTGTTAACTTGCAAGGGATACAAGGCGGTCCTCCTTCGTGGAGCCCAACTGAGATGAGTGCGAGAAACTCGATGGTCAACGGAGGACACGCCGGGCCCAATCCGGATGCCTTCCACCGCGACAATACCACGCACCAAGAAAAAGGCCAAAGGAAAAGAAAGGCCGATGAAACCATTGATTATTCCGATACTGATACTGCGGGGAAGAGGAGGAAGGCTTTTGACCAGTGAAGCACGCAAGATCTCTCGACTCGGGAGTCTCTTTCCTGATGATTATCAATATTGGCAAATATGGGTACTGTTTCTTCCGTTAATTAGAATGGCAAGAACTTTGGGGTCGGCATCCGGCTAAAGAAAGAGTAGGGTGGATATTTGATTCATTTGAGAACTAGAAGGATGGCATCTTCAAGGCGCGTGTCTTACGAACTCAACATTAGGAATGGAACCGGCTACCAAGAGCATTAATTTGTTTCCGAGTCCAAATCCAAACTCAGTGGTAAAACACCGCAGATGTGAGTCGTGCAAGCCGAACATGGTTCGGAGGGACGTGGATTCCTGAGACTGCCAAAGCTCTGAGCCAATCAGAAACGAAGCAACGAGAGTCATCGAAAGCGGAATTCGAGTCTCTAGAACATGAAGGATGAAGGAAACAGGCTAAAATATCCTTTGAGTATCGTTATTTATGAGTCGCGCTCGCCGGAATCTTCCACACTGTACAGCGATGCAGAGTCCGTAGTGGTAGGCTGGCATTGCACCCTGCGTAGACTACATGTCATATGACCGCTGCAAGCAGCCATTCCGCCGTGTCCACCTGTTCCAAGTGTATATGACTTGTTGTCTCATGGCCCGCAATCTGTAATGTATCTCTCCGCGGGTAGGCTCGTTAGATCTGAGTCTTCACTTCATTTATCTATGTTTCTGGAAGGTTTCTTCTCTGGAGCACGTGATTATGTCGCAGGACATTCTCATTTAGCACAGCTGCTGGAGCCTACACTATTCTTCACAACGCCGACTATAATATATTTATGCCTCCAGAGATATCATACCAATATCCATGGTAAAGTTGAGTTGGATTCTTACCCAAGAATCCGGGATGGATGTCAAACTTCCAATTATCTCCCAAATCTGCCTCGTGAATGGGAGATCTCCGGGCTCCCATGCCCCGGATTCCATTGGCTGGATCGTTATTTATTTCTGGGGAATCTCAAAGCATTTCTAAAAGCGTTAAAAATGCAGCCTTCTATCGACAGCCTGGCGGAAAGCAGCATATGGAGCCGAGCTAGGGCGAGCGTTAGGCCGGTACAATGCCACGCCACTCTCCAGCTTCAAACTGTGCTCGAACCCCTTCACCACCGTGCCGCCACCATACTGCGCCTGGCCTGTAAACGTACTACTCAGTACCTTAACCAGCATTTCCGAGTCAACGACTTCCTTGCTCTTTTGGATCACGGGGGAGAAGCGCCTTTGAAGACCTACGATAGCGAGTTTGGGGGTGTGGAGTTTGGAAATGGAGAGAAGTTCGTATTCCTCTATGGCTTTATGAGCGCACTCAGGGGTGGAATTGTAGATTGCAGGTGGTTTGGGAGTCATCTGAAGCATCAAGGCATGGGAAGTGAGATTTCGTGCCCAGCCCCGATTATACGAAAGCCTGATAAAACCAGCACGGATTGGTGCCATATCTCTACGCTTATCGTCAAATATTGTCAGTAAGAAGCCGGAAAGAAGGTGACATTGGAATCTTCAAGCTGAAGTGACTGAAAGGGACTGAGAAATGTGGATCACGTTTGACCCTTGGTACTTGTTTAAGGGACAGCAGGCAGCGGAAGACACAAAAAAAACAACATTACAGGGCCAACCAACTGTGGTAGGATGACTTTTCCAAATATTTCCATCTTCAGGTACGCAATGGGGGTACTACTGCCGAAGCTGAGGAGGTGGGGAGGCAAGCCGAGTGATGTTCGGCAGGAGTGGGATGAGTGAAGCTGTTCACGACCGTTCGTCAATACGAGCGGTTTACTAATCGGGTAATATTGAGATCTCGGAAATAGCAAAAGCTTTACTATACATGCCTCCCACTATATCTAGGCGCTCCTATAGCTATCCTAGCCCTTTTTGGTACCCTCCCCTTTACTTGATTACCTGATTCTCTAGTTCTAGCTCCATTTTCACGTACTTGCTCCTTAGCTACTCTTCTTTTTACTCTCTCAGATATCCTTCTAGCTTTCTGAACTAATATAATTAAACTATAATTATTCTTCTTTATTAACGCTTTAGGAAGGGTGATTTTATTCTTTTTATGGGTTATACTAGTAGTAGGTAAGTTAGGATAAGTTAATTGAGAGGTGATTTTATTAAGGGTACTATATAGCCAGAGAGTAGTAAGCTCGCTATGCTTAGTAGCTAAGTAATAGCCCTATTTTAATTAGCTTTTACTAAAAGTAAGGCTTATAAACCATATATCTTTAGAGTTTTTTTTCCAGAACTCTTACTAGAATTCTAGCTATTGCCGTACTAAATCTGTATTACTTTGGGATCTAAAGAATTATAATCTCTTGAATATTATACTTAATATTACGCTCTGCCGCTTTACTAGTAAATTTAGCGTCACGTGACCGCGATGACGCATGCGACTTGTTGAAATTAGGGGCCTGAGGCCCCTAATAGGCTTAGTAAGCCCTGGAACCGAACGCTATGGGGCTGTGCACTAGCTTAATACCCTGTCCAGCTGGAATACCCTGTATAGCTGGAATACCCTGTACGGCTGGAATACCCTGTATAGCTGGAATACCCTGTACGGCTGGAATACCCTGTATAGCTGGAATACCATATACGGCTGGAATACCCTGTATAGCTGTAATCGGTTCAGCTGGTATAGGGATTTAGTACATGTGACTTAGGGGGTTCAGGGCTATATATACGGGCTACTTACTACTGTAGAACAGCAGTCAATTCAGTATCGTTTACTTGGTTTACATTGCAAGCACGTGACCCTAGCTATATTGCTTTAGCTAGTTCAACACGACTGGGGCTAGTATTTAGAACACCAAGCTCCCGCACTTACGAGCTTCCCTCCTTAGTTTAGAATCCTCGGAATAGAGCCACTCTACCTGCTTTCCAAGCCCAGAGCCCGGTCTCGTAATACTTAAGAGCTTTGGAATTTGCCCTCTTTACTATATTCTCTCTCTGTTTTTTTATATACTGTGGGAGGGAAACTGTAATAAGACAAAAACCCATATAAAGTACACCAGAGCACAAAACGTGACTTGATAGCAAAATAATAAATCAAAAGCGTAAATAGTAAAGCATAAATAGTATATAGTATATAAAAGCTCAATTAATTAAATACTTATAAGGGATTATTCTCTAAGTCTATAGAAAAACTAGCTTTCTTATATAATTTCCGCAAGTTATATATAAAAGGCTATAGCCTTTACTATATAACCTAAATCTCAAAACCGCTAAAATAATATAATTTTTAATAAGTATAGCCTGCTATATTACATCCGATCCCCTATTTATTTATACTTGTTCCCTAAGTACCAAAAATAATAGAAAAATTCTACTTAGAGTTCGAAATAATAAAATATTCAAGATCTTCCTCTATTAGTTAATCTAATTTCTCCTCCGTATACCTAAAATAAGACTTATTACCCTTAAATAGTCTTATTTCATATTTCCGAACTTGCTTAAAGATAATCCGAATCCGCTTAGCTATATTCTTATACTAAATCTAATATAGTTCTCTATATTAATTAGTATCCGCCTTTAATTATTATTTAATTTCTACCTTTATTACAGGATATTAAAGAGGCTTATTATAGTAAATTATATTATAAATTATACTAATATACTTCAAATAAATAGCTTTTTCGAATTTCGTATTATCTATTATATTTTTAAATTAACTTTTAGTAAGAGGAGAAAGCTCTAGATAAGAGGCTTTAATAACCTTATAGAAGACTTTATTTTCGTATATTCTATCCTTAATAATAACTAGACTTATTAGAACTATAATAAAAGGCCTATTAAATAGCAAATTATTATTAAGCTATTCTTTAACTTATATATTATCTAAGAATTAATACTTTCCTATAATTCCAGACTTATAGATTACCTAGCTAAAAGCATTTATTTATCTAGTTAAATAGACTATATTCAAAGTCTTTTCTTCTATTATCTTTAGTAAATACTTACTTATTTCCTTAGCTATTTCTAGCTTAAATTTATTAGAAATAAAGAAGTAATTAATATCTTTAAAGAACTTCTTATTAAAGATAGTAGCCTTCTTATAGTCTATAAGGAAAATATAGCTAATATTCCGATATTCTTTATTAAGATAGAATTCGCTATTTAAAGCTTTAGTAATAGCTAGATCTTTAGTATTATTTTTATACTAATTATAATTAATATTTCTAGAAGTAAAGTATTAGGCTAGCTAAGGGTAAATAACTAGATAAATAGGGTACTTATTTAATATCTCGTAAAATCCGAGCTATATTAATAGATCTATTATTAAAAGTTAAGAGGCTAAAGTAAAATAACTATTACTAAGATCTTTATATATTAATATATTATTTTTTCGGAAATAAAACTATAATATTTCTATTCCTCTATTAAGAGTTCTTGAATACTAAGCTTTTTAATTTACTTTAAATAATTCTTCTTATAAATATAGCTATTTATACCTAGATTAATAGTACTAGATTCAGGAATAGGAACTATAGTATTAAATTAGAACTATAAATTAGGGCGGAATTAATTAGAAATACGGTACTTATATTTATATTACTTAATTTCCTAGGTTTTAAAAAAGAAATTCCATATTTCCTTATTTATTTAAGTAATGGAAATATATTTCTTATTTTTAGTAACTTTATAAATCTTAGTAACTAGCTTTAGAATATTCTTAATATCTCGCATATTAATAGAGAAAATATTAGCAAGTTACTAAATATATCCTATATAAGAAGCTTTAAGGAATTTATTATTAATCCTATAATATTCTTACTTATAAATAGGTTTTATAATACTACTATATATTTCCTTAAAAGTATATTTATCTTACTAAGTAAGTATTAACTTCTATTTAGTTAGTATTTTATAAATATACTAAATGCCTTTATTAAGTTCTCTGAACTTAATATCCTTAGTTTTTTACTTCTTGGTTCTAAATATAATTACGGAAATCTTTCTAGATAATATTTTTCTTTTTAGAATAAAGGATTTCTCTTTACTTTTCTTTATTTTACTAATCTTATACTTAGTCTAATACTCAGATTTCTACTATTTATTAAAAGCTTTAGGCTTAGTTTACTTTCTATTCTTGCCAGGTTCTTTTTATCTAGTTATACTAGTTCTACTAGCCTTACTAGTAGTTTTCTTACTAGGCTTTATTAAATTAGCTTTATTTTTCTTAGCTAGATCTAATTAAGTTAAAGCTAAAATTATAATAGGAGCCTATTCTTTAGGCTTATCTTAGAAAGCAGGAAAAGGCTTATTACTATAAACTTCTTTAATTAGGATTCCGGAAGTATTAAAGATATATTATTTAGCCTTAAGATTATTAGCTAATAGTAGCTTAAACTCTAATTCTTTAGGTTCCGAAATAGCTTTAATATACTTAAATATTTTAATAATATCTAATTTAATAAATATACTAGTATTTTAATACTTCTTATCCTTAATATACTTTAAAATAGCTTTATTAATTAACTAAATAGCTTTATATACTAAAGCTTTTATCTTAAAAAAAAGTATAATTTCTTATAGATATTTTTACTAAGATTATTATAAATATTATTAATATATTAGCTAAAAGCTTTATTATATAATATAATTCTATTCTGATTCTTAGTTTCTAGATTATTTACTATAATCTTAATCTTATTAAGCTTCTCTTATTTACCTTTAGAAATGCCTTTAATAATATTCTCGAATTTTCTATTATTAGCTTAATAGTTCTTTAGCTCTTTCTTAGTTAATTCTAGTCTAGTTTTGTTTCTAATAAAGGTCTTTTATTTTAAGAGCTTATTATATATATTATTTAGTTTATTTAGGATATTTATATTAAATTCGGTAATTATAGCTATCTTTTCTAATATTAGTAAGCCTTCTATAACTACCCAAACTTCTTTAATACTCTAAACTTTAATACTATTAATTTATAGGCTTTTAATAATATTATAGCTTATAAGAACTAGCTATTATATTTTACTAGCTTAAGAAATTTATACTTTGGCTATTTTATTATTCTTAATAAGTTATAAAGATATTATTAATATAATAGTTATAAATTATAGAGTTAAAGGTTTTTGAAATTATAAGAATTTCTTTTAAGTATATTTTAAAATAAAAAATAAATTGAAATAATCTTAAATTATATAAAAGTATTATATATATTCGAGTTTTTCTTTCTTTCTAGTAAGAAAACAAAGCTAAAATAGTAGTATATATAATAGAGAAAGTAAGTATAATAAATTAGATATATTTAAGGTAATATAATTATAAATTAGAGATAATTATAGAAGGTAAAATATAAAGTTAAACTTCTATTATAGAAAAAAATATAAATATATATATTTAAGGAAATATAATTAAGGAAATAATTAAGGCAGGTTAAACTAAATAGTAATAATAGAGAAATAAGAAAGTAATATAATAGAAATATAAATATAATAATAGTATCTAAAATATTAGAATATAAAAAGAAATAATGAAAATTTTATAATATAAATATATTCTAATTTCTTATTTATTTAGAGATATTTCTATTAACTTAAAGAATAATATAAAAGAAGGGAAATAATATAGGAAATATATAAAAGGTAAGATATATAAATATACTAAAGATATTAGGAAAATATAAAATAAGTATTAATAGAAAAAAAGT